AGCAGGTGATCCGCGAGGAGCGCTTTGAGGCGAAAACAAAGCAAGGCGCCTCAGAACAAGACCATACCCGTAGCAGGTGATCCGCGAGGAGCGCTTTGAGGCGAAAACAAAACAAGGCGCCTCAGAACAAGACCATACCCGTAGCAGGTGATCGCGAGGAGCGCTTTGAGGCGAAAACAAAGCAAGGCGCCTCAGAACAAGACCATACCCGTAGCAGGTGATCCGCGAGGAGCGCTTTGAGGCGAAAACAAAGCAAGGCGCCTCAGAACAAGACCATACCCGTAGCAGGTGATCCGCGAGGAGCGCTTTGAGGCGAAAACAAAGCAAGGCGCCTCAGAACAAGACCATACCCGTAGCAGGTGATCCGCGAGGAGCGCTTTGAGGCGAAAACAAAACAAGGCGCCTCAGAACAAGACCATACCCGTAGCAGGTGATCCGCGAGGAGCGCTTTGAGGCGAAAACAAAACAAGGCGCCTCAGAACAAGACCATACCCGTAGCAGGTGATCCGCGAGGAGCGCTTTGAGGCGAAAACAAAACAAGGCGCCTCAGAACAAGACCATACCCGTAGCAGGTGATCCGCGAGGAGCGCTTTGAGGCGAAAACAAAACAAGGCGCCTCAGAACAAGACCATACCCGTAGCAGGTGATCCGCGAGGAGCGCTTTGAGGCGAAAACAAAACAAGGCGCCTCAGAACAAGACCATACCCGTAGCAGGTGATCCGCGAGGAGCGCTTTGAGGCGAAAACAAAGCAAGGCGCCTCAGAACAAGACCATACCCGTAGCAGGTGATCCGCGAGGAGCGCTTTGAGGCGAAAACAAAACAAGGCGCCTCAGAACAAGACCATACCCGTAGCAGGTGATCCGCGAGGAGCGCTTTGAGGCGAAAACAAAACAAGGCGCCTCAGAACAAGACCATACCCGTAGCAGGTGATCCGCGAGGAGCGCTTTGAGGCGAAAACAAAACAAGGCGCCTCAGAACAAGACCATACCCGTAGCAGGTGATCCGCGAGGAGCGCTTTGAGGCGAAAACAAAGCAAGGCGCCTCAGAACAAGACCATACCCGTAGCAGGTGATCCGCGAGGAGCGCTTTGAGGCGAAAACAAAGCAAGGCGCCTCAGAACAAGACCATACCCGTAGCAGGTGATCCGCGAGGAGCGCTTTGAGGCGAAAACAAAACAAGGCGCCTCAGAACAAGACCATACCCGTAGCAGGTGATCCGCGAGGAGCGCTTTGAGGCGAAAACAAAACAAGGCGCCTCAGAACAAGACCATACCCGTAGCAGGTGATCCGCGAGGAGCGCTTTGAGGCGAAAACAAAACAAGGCGCCTCAGAACAAGACCATACCCGTAGCAGGTGATCCGCGAGGAGCGCTTTGAGGCGAAAACAAAACAAGGCGCCTCAGAACAAGACCATACCCGTAGCAGGTGATCCGCGAGGAGCGCTTTGAGGCGAAAACAAAACAAGGCGCCTCAGAACAAGACCATACCCGTAGCAGGTGATCCGCGAGGAGCGCTTTGAGGCGAAAACAAAACAAGGCGCCTCAGAACAAGACCATACCCGTAGCAGGTGATCCGCGAGGAGCGCTTTGAGGCGAAAACAAAACAAGGCGCCTCAGAACAAGACCATACCCGTAGCAGGTGATCCGCGAGGAGCGCTTTGAGGCGAAAACAAAACAAGGCGCCTCAGAACAAGACCATACCCGTAGCAGGTGATCCGCGAGGAGCGCTTTGAGGCGAAAACAAAACAAGGCGCCTCAGAACAAGACCATACCCGTAGCAGGTGATCCGCGAGGAGCGCTTTGAGGCGAAAACAAAACAAGGCGCCTCAGAACAAGACCATACCCGTAGCAGGTGATCCGCGAGGAGCGCTTTGAGGCGAAAACAAAACAAGGCGCCTCAGAACAAGACCATACCCGTAGCAGGTGATCCGCGAGGAGCGCTTTGAGGCGAAAACAAAACAAGGCGCCTCAGAACAAGACCATACCCGTAGCAGGTGATCCGCGAGGAGCGCTTTGAGGCGAAAACAAAACAAGGCGCCTCAGAACAAGACCATACCCGTAGCAGGTGATCCGCGAGGAGCGCTTTGAGGCGAAAACAAAACAAGGCGCCTCAGAACAAGACCATACCCGTAGCAGGTGATCCGCGAGGAGCGCTTTGAGGCGAAAACAAAACAAGGCGCCTCAGAACAAGACCATACCCGTAGCAGGTGATCCGCGAGGAGCGCTTTGAGGCGAAAACAAAACAAGGCGCCTCAGAACAAGACCATACCCGTAGCAGGTGATCCGCGAGGAGCGCTTTGAGGCGAAAACAAAACAAGGCGCCTCAGAACAAGACCATACCCGTAGCAGGTGATCCGCGAGGAGCGCTTTGAGGCGAAAACAAACAAGGCGCCTCAGAACAAGACCATACCCGTAGCAGGTGATCCGCGAGGAGCGCTTTGAGGCGAAAACAAAACAAGGCGCCTCAGAACAAGACCATACCCGTAGCAGGTGATCCGCGAGGAGCGCTTTGAGGCGAAAACAAAACAAGGCGCCTCAGAACAAGACCATACCCGTAGCAGGTGATCCGCGAGGAGCGCTTTGAGGCGAAAACAAAACAAGGCGCCTCAGAACAAGACCATACCCGTAGCAGGTGATCCGCGAGGAGCGCTTTGAGGCGAAAACAAAACAAGGCGCCTCAGAACAAGACCATACCCGTAGCAGGTGATCCGCGAGGAGCGCTTTGAGGCGAAAACAAAACAAGGCGCCTCAGAACAAGACCATACCCGTAGCAGGTGATCCGCGAGGAGCGCTTTGAGGCGAAAACAAAACAAGGCGCCTCAGAACAAGACCATACCCGTAGCAGGTGATCCGCGAGGAGCGCTTTGAGGCGAAAACAAAACAAGGCGCCTCAGAACAAGACCATACCCGTAGCAGGTGATCCGCGAGGAGCGCTTTGAGGCGAAAACAAAGCAAGGCGCCTCAGAACAAGACCATACCCGTAGCAGGTGATCCGCGAGGAGCGCTTTGAGGCGAAAACAAAACAAGGCGCCTCAGAACAAGACCATACCCGTAGCAGGTGATCCGCGAGGAGCGCTTTGAGGCGAAAACAAAACAAGGCGCCTCAGAACAAGACCATACCCGTAGCAGGTGATCCGCGAGGAGCGCTTTGAGGCGAAAACAAAACAAGGCGCCTCAGAACAAGACCATACCCGTAGCAGGTGATCCGCGAGGAGCGCTTTGAGGCGAAAACAAAACAAGGCGCCTCAGAACAAGACCATACCCGTAGCAGGTGATCCGCGAGGAGCGCTTTGAGGCGAAAACAAAACAAGGCGCCTCAGAACAAGACCATACCCGTAGCAGGTGATCCGCGAGGAGCGCTTTGAGGCGAAAACAAAGCAAGGCGCCTCAGAACAAGACCATACCCGTAGCAGGTGATCCGCGAGGAGCGCTTTGAGGCGAAAACAAAGCAAGGCGCCTCAGAACAAGACCATACCCGTAGCAGGTGATCCGCGAGGAGCGCTTTGAGGCGAAAACAAAACAAGGCGCCTCAGAACAAGACCATACCCGTAGCAGGTGATCCGCGAGAAGCGCTTTGAGGCGAAAACAAAACAAGGCGCCTCAGAACAAGACCATACCCGTAGCAGGTGATCCGCGAGGAGCGCTTTGAGGCGAAAACAAAGCAAGGCGCCTCAGAACAAGACCATACCCGTAGCAGGTGATCCGCGAGGAGCGCTTTGAGGCGAAAACAAAACAAGGCGCCTCAGAACAAGACCATACCCGTAGCAGGTGATCCGCGAGGAGCGCTTTGAGGCGAAAACAAAACAAGGCGCCTCAGAACAAGACCATACCCGTAGCAGGTGATCCGCGAGGAGCGCTTTGAGGCGAAAACAAAACAAGGCGCCTCAGAACAAGACCATACCCGTAGCAGGTGATCCGCGAGGAGCGCTTTGAGGCGAAAACAAAGCAAGGCGCCTCAGAACAAGACCATACCCGTAGCAGGTGATCCGCGAGGAGCGCTTTGAGAGCGCCAAGAAGACCGTACTAGCACCGCACCGTACCACACAGCACCTCACCCCAGCTGTACCCACAGAAAGAACGTACCCTTAGCAAGTGATCCGCGAGGAACGCCAGGAAGTTGAGCAGAAGCAGCAGGAACACGCCGTTGAAACTGTTGCCGCCCTGCCGCCCAACTGCAGAAGACGACACGCCCGGCCGCCCACCAGCCTGCCGCCCAGTTGCCGTCCCCCGGCCATCTTCCCGCCCTTGTTCCCGCCCTTCCTCCTCCAGCTCGAAGCTCGAGAAGCGCGCCGAGTCGCCCCTGCCAGCCTGGCATCTGTGGAAAGAGCCTCGCGACCTAGTTTTTGCAGCATTTGCGCTGCCAGTCCGCTCAAAGGATAACCTCGGATCAGCGCCTGTGTCTGTCGACGTCTGATAAGCCCCTTTGAGGTTAGCAACGGTCCGTGCGAAACTCAACGAATCGCAACAAATAGAAACTCCCCACCCTGTTTCGGTTAGAGCTTGTGAACGACACGCATTGCCTCGAGGAATCTTCGTCGCACGAGCTCCCGCGCGGACTGATTGTGCGGTGCTGCACCTATCGGGAAGATCGCCGGTGGTTGGATGACACGTTATTCTGTAACCACCTTTCGTTGAACTCGTGGTTCCTCTTCGGCATTGTTCGCGTGTCAAGCTAAAGCCGAAGGAACGCGGTGGCTCCAACAACGTCTTAGGCGGGGCTAATCTCTCGGCCATGCTGGCAATGCTGCTGAGTTAGTAGTTACTAATTACTAAGTACGTTTAGCATCCCTGTGAGGCTAGGGGTTAGGGAAAATCGGTAGCGGAAATGCAGCCTAGAATATGTTGAAGCTTAGTCAGAGCGAGAGAAACATGTTATAACGCGAAGAACCGATCCCCACCGCACCAAACGTACCAATGAAGTTCTCCCTGACGGGGGCTCGTGCCAGGGGGGTGCAACACTTAGCGCGTCCGCGTTTATACTTCACTCAATCCATGTTTCGGATGGTTGAAAAAATGCAGTCCACTTGTTGAATCAACTAGAACACTTTATCATGAGAGAAATCTGTACATGTCACGCGATTGGCTAAGCCGATGCACGTATACTGGAGCGGCATAATCAGGTGCTATCACACTTAGGTTTCTTGGCTTCTCTATTATCACTCTCATTATTATCCTCCCCTTGTCTGTCTGTCTTCTTCCTATCAGGCACCACAGCAGCCACTGCTTTCTCCCAATCCTTATGCTGCAGGTACTGTAGCAGGATATCCACCACGTGGTTCACTGTTAACACCTGCATGGATGGAAGTTGGGAGACAAACAAATGACGATGAACTTTAATGTCCACCAGTCCTTATGCTGCAGGTACTGTAGCAGGATACCCACCACATGGTTCACTGTTGACACCTGCACAACAAGAGAACAAGGGTTACAAAAAAGGTCGCTATTAGTCAGCGTAAACTCCCCACGGTCCTTGTGCTGCACGTGCTGCAGGTACTGTAGCAGGATATCCACCACATGGTTCACTGCTAACACCTGCACAGGGGGAGACAGAGAGCAGAGGGGATGGACGGGCGAGCGAGGGCGATTGGGGCAACAAGGCAACTTTATTCGCAGCCCCTGTGCTGCAGGTACTGTAGCAGGATGTCCACCACATGGGTCACTGCTAACACCTGCATGAAGTAAGGAGGGGTAGAAATAAATAAACAGAGTAATTAGCCGCCTTCGACTATTCCCGGTCCATGTGCTGCAATGGATTCATATTTTAATATTCTAAAAAGTACGTTGCGGGTACTGCAACAGGATGTCAACTTCATGGTTCACTGCTGCCACCTGGAATCCGGGGGGGCTGTGGGGAGGGGTAGGGGTTAGGGAAGGAAGGATGGAATGGAGTCCACGAGGAGATCACCAGTCTGTGTAGCCGGCAGGAACTGCAGGTACCGCACCGAAATCTCCACCTTGAGACGTCTCACATCTGAATCTTCAAAACACTTCTGCACCAGAAATTCCACCAGGCGGTTTACTGCTTGTTGTGGCTAAAAGTGGGGTCAAGGGAAGGATATTGAAAAACAAGGGCGATATTGGCCCACCCCATCCCTCGACCACATATAGCACACCACACCACAGCACCCCGAACCACATCGCTCTTCTTCTCACCTTAAAAAAAAAGTCCAATTTAAGGCACTTCCCATTTGGCACTCTCGCTATCTTGATCCCCTGTTTCTCCGCCTCCCCCTTAGTAAGCCCGTTGTACACCAGCTATGGCCCACTGTGCCCACCATTACACCTCCTGCACCCCACTGCACCTCATTGCACCACTTTGCACACCCATCTTTCGTCTTGAGATTCAGGTGCTTCCCAATCGGCAGTGCCACCGTCTTGATCCCCTGCTTCTCCGTTTTCCCCTTAGTTGTACCGATTAGAATTACAACCCTCCCCTGCCACACACAGCACCGCACAATTCTCACCTTGGTCGTCTTCAGATTGAGGTACTTCCCAATTGGCAGTTTCGCTGTCTGAATCCCCGTCTGCTTCTCCGCCTTCTCCTTAGTCAACCCGTTGTACCGATTCAATTTTACAACCTCCCCCCCCCCACACACAGCACCGCACAGTACCGCACAGAATCACAGCACACCCTTTCTCACCTTGGACGTCTTCAGATTGAGGTACTTCCCAATCGGCAGTTTTGCCGTCTTAATCCCCTGCTTCTCCGCTTTCTCCTTGGTCAACCCCTTGTACTTATTCCGATCCACAATCCCCCCCACCACATACACCTTCCCCGGTTCCACCTCCCCCACCTCCTCCTCTGCATCCGCCGTGAGGTACACCAGCTCCCCCTCCCGCCCCCGCCATGCCTCGATATAAGCACGCGGCTCCACAGTCACGCCCTGCCAGCTTTCAAAGCCTGCGATGCGCTGCAGGCGTTGCAGGAAGGGGCTGGTGGGGGGGAGGCCAGAGAGCGTCAACCTGCAGGGAGCAGGGGCGCGCTGGTTGAGGGCGTAGGAGAACATGACCTGGGGGGAGGGGAGGGGAGGGTAGGGGAGCAGTGGGAGATATGTGTGAGTCCGCTGCAGGCACTGCAGGAAGGGGCTGGCGGGGAAGAGGCCGAAGAGAGTGATGCGGCAGGGAGCTGGTGCTCGCTGGTTGGGGGCGTAGGAGAAATGACCTGGGACGCAGGGATACTTGGAGGAGAGTAAATTGGGGCGGGGGAGGGGGTGGGAGTGGGGGGTTGGGGAATATCCCCGCACCTGCTGCTGCAGGCTGGACAGTTCTCTCCCCCATAAGCTCTTCAAACTCCAAGTCAATGATCACCCCCAAACCATGCACTCCCATCTCATGTTCGCAAGGACCTCAAACTCCCCTGCTTAACCTGCTGCTGACGACTGGAGAGTTCTCTCTCCCCCATCGGCTCCTCAAACTTCAAGCTATGATCCGCCCGGGACCCTTCCTTGCCTTGATCCATGTCACCTTTAAGTCCTGAATTCTCAAGGCATTTTTTAGAATTCTCAAAAATACCCTCCATGTCACCTTAAAGTCCTGAATTCTCCATAAAACCAATCTCCCATAAACCCCTAAACCCCCGTCCCTGCACCTGTTGCTTCAGGCTTGACAGTTTTCTCTCCACCCAACAATTCCTCAGACTCCAAGTCAATGATCAGTCCAAACCCAAACCATGCGACCCTCCCTCCCAGGAGGGAAGCAAAGCAACCCCCCTGCTTCACCTGCTGCTGAAGGCTTGACAGCTCTCTCTCCCCCATCAACTCCTCAGACTCCAAGTCTATGATCAGCCCAGTGCAAGCCCAAACAATCAGCCCACTCCCAAGGCGGAAGCCAAGCAAATATCTCGGCTATACCTGCTGCTGCAGACTCGACAGTTCTCTCTCCCCCATCAATTCCTCAAATTCCAAGTCAATTATCAGCCCCGGACCCTTCTCCGCCTTTTCCGCCCACGCCCTCCGCCGCTCCGCCTCCACCGCCCTTCGCGCCTCCGCCTTCTCCCGCTGCCGCGCGGCGGCTTCCGCGCGCTCCTCCGCGGTCAGACTGGCCTCCGCGGCCGCCGCCTCCTGCTCCGCGCGCTTCTGCTGCGCCTCCCGCGCAAGCCGCGCGTCCTCCCGCGCGCGATCCTTGCGCTCCTGCATGGCCTGCCGCTTCGCCAGCTTCTTCTGCGCGTTCTTCGAGAGCGGCTTATCGGACTCCTGCGCACTGTCCGGCGCACTCGCATCCCCGTTAGTAGCGTTCTTCGACAGCGGCTTATCAGAGTCCTGCGCACTCGTATCCCCGCTGGCAGCGTTCTTCGAAACAGGTTCCAAGCCTTGGATGATGTCCCGCGCACTCGCGTCCACAATCGCGTCCTTCGGTAACGCTTCTGCAGCGTGCTGTCCATTCGCCTCCTTCGTTTCCCCTCCCTCCCTCCTCGCATCCAGGTGACTTCTGACTTTTGACTCAAAAGGAACCCCGATCCTATCGTCCACCGCCCCCCGCCCACCATCCTCTGACTCTTTTCCGCCCCTATCGCCCTCCGCCGCTCCGCCTTCCCCGCCCAAACCAGAAACCTTGCCGCTGCTCTCCCCCTCTTTCTCTCCCCCTCCCTCTCCGCATTCGCGCTTTTCTCCGCCTTCCCCCTCCCCTCTGCCTTCCCCACTCTCTCCCCCGTCCTTCTTCGCTTCATTCTCACGCGCGCTGGCGTCAGCGCGCAAATCTCCGCCATCAGCGCACAAAGCTCCGCCACTTGCTGCCCCTGAAGCGCACTCCGCCGACTGAGCAACTGCCACGTGGCACGCTGCTGCTGGTTGAGCGGCTTCCATCGTAGCAGCTTCCATTATAGCGGCTTCCGCGCGAGCGATCCGACGCTACGGGAAGCGAGGGGCGTATGAGCGCTGGACCCCGAGCGAGAAACCTTGGGTGCTAAACAAACCCTGGGAGTAAAACCCCGACGAGGAATCTGACGATTTTGTGAAGCACCAAAATAGGTTCCAAAATTTCGAAGTAATGGGGAAAAGGGAAAAGGGAAATATGTGGTTTGGACTAGGTGGAAATATAGTGCTTTTTTATTTTCGCCTCCTGGTCGGAACAGTAGATAGATGGGGGGCAAAAGTAGGGAGCTGCTGTGGGGTGTGGGAGTGAGCCATGGCTTGAGCTGCTGCCGATCCCTCGGTCCTCCGAAGGCGTGTTTACGAGTGTGGTTAGAATGCTCCGGAGTCAAACCCGAATATTTTCTGCACCCTTAGGACTTTCGCGAAGGTGCATGTAAGAGATTTCAACTCAATGCGAAACGATTAATGATTACTGCGAGCAACTGGTTACAAATGTAATACAGAGGTCTCGGATTTTCTATGCAACACGCCCTTTGAGGCAGGGGGACGCAGACCTAATCAGCATGTTCAGCGGTGGCTTGGGTGTGTCGCGGATAATTGGTGCTGGTTCGCTGTGTATGATCTGGCACTCGCGAAACTCACGAAACCACTCGCCAATTATCTTCGTACATCTTCTTCGAGCCTCGTACGCCAATCCCTACCGCTCATAGCCCTTGTTCGCATGGCAATCCCAAGGCCCACCCTCAATCACCTCTCGACGAAACTTTTCTGCACCTTCCCGTTCGCCTTCCTCCCGCTGCTGCCGCTGCCAGCGCAGCTGCATGAGCTGGTCTGTCATTTTTGCTCATTTTCGCTCTGGGGATGAGGGGACGACCTAGCCTGGACCAGAACCAGCAGCTGAAGAGGAGAAGAAACCGCGAGCGAACCTCACAGGAGAGCGTACCGACGAGCTATCTCACGATCTAAGCCCGTGCGATACCGTTGCTCGATCGTGGGTGAAGGCTCACGAACCAATCAAGCCCGACGGTTGTTCTTCGTTGGCGCCAAAACTTCTCTTTGGATCGCGGGTTATATTTCAGCGCGGGTCACGCTGGTAGTTAGTCCCTAAGTCGAGCCAGCGATGGCGGATTCGGCGTCAGATTCGGCGGCGGGTTTGGCGCCGGATTTGACGAAGCAATCAGCCATCGCTGCACGTGAGGCAGAAGCGGCGCGTCGAACGGGTCGCATGTCCGACGGCATGTGCGCTGGTGCCTATGCTGACTCGCTGAAATGTACGTACGCGTTACAAGGCGCATGTACTAGGCACTATGCAGATTCACTGACATCATGCATGCGGGCAACTTTGAAAAGCTTTTATGTCTCCTTGACAGCTGAGCTGGCATTCACCTTTAACGCCGCTTCACATGCATGTCCCCTTACATGTCCCCTTACATGTCCCCTTACATGTCCCCTTACATGTCCCCTTGACATGTCCCCTTGACATGTCCCCTTGACATGTCCCCTTATATGTCCCCTTTACATGCACTACAGGAGTTCACTATGGATGATCCTGCCCTTTGTTTTGGCTTTTCTCATTGTGCCATCACTTCCTTCCCTGCCTTTCCCCCCCCCCCGCCTGCGCTGCTCCCTTCCTCTCAAATACCCGTTATATCTTGACATCCTCCCCGCTGTGATGGGACTCAGGTCTGGATAAGAACAGCTACGACAAGAGCAAGTGCGAGGACAAGTTCGACGCGTACAAAGAGTGCAGAAAAGTAGAGGTGAGCGCAATGCAAGGGAGAAGGGGTCTGGGTGGGTGGGGTGATTTTTGAGTCAACTCAAAAGAGCGAGTGCGAGGACAAGGTATACACGTACAAAGAGTGCAGAAAAGCAGAGGTGAGCGCAATGCGAGAGATGGAGAGGGATGTGGGTGGGGAGGGAGAGGGTGCAGGAGAGGAGGGAGAGGAGCAGAGTAGGGGGAGAGGAAACGAGGGCTGCTCGTATAAGAACGGAATATTTGTCAGCTTCAGATATTATCCTGCAAAGGTGTGTCACTCCTTGGATCCTGGAATTGCTCTCAGCCCTTTACTGGCTTTGGTCTTGCGACTGCATATTGTCCCTGTGTTGTTTGAATGTGCATGCAACAGCGGGAGAAGCGATTGGAAGCAAACAGCAAAAAGTCGTTCTTTGGATGACCTTACATGAGGTAGTAGGTACCAGCAGCTCCTAATGTTTGATATTCTCTGCTTTGTAAAAAAAAATGTGTTTTTGTGTTTATTCCTTAGTGTCTGAAAAGAAGGCCCTCGACCAACTTTCCCGTGCTGTGACAGAATACTGCTACTCACTCACTTGCCAGCTGGTGGTTACAGCTTACATGCACCATGCAGTGCACTCCATGCACCAGTGTAGCTTGCACCATCAATAGCTAGTGTTTCTGCTGCTCTAAGCATGCAGGCAAAGCAAGGTTGTATGGTAGGGAGGGAGGGATACCTGTTGGGCTCACACACATTGCGTGCCAGGCACTTGCTCGCTGGCTGCTGTCTTTCGAGTCGACTAAAAAGCATGCAGGCAAAGCAGGTTTCTATGGTAGGATAGGGTGGGGCCCTGTCACGCTCCCACACCGCGAGCCAGGTCTACTCTTGAGGCGCCTCAAGAATAGGCTCCTCATGCCATCGTAGGGATCCTTGCTGGGCTCGCACATTGCGTGCCCGGCACTTGCTGGCTGCAGACTTTCGAGTCGACTCGATAGCATGCAGGCAAAGCAAGTTTCTAGGGCTCGCACACTGCGTGCCCGGCACTTGCTCGCTAGCGGTTGGCATTGGGCATCTCAGTGGCACTGCAAGGCAGATGATGATGGGATGGGATCATGGGAGCGAGGGCAGGGGGGAGAGGTATTTTGAGGCGCCTCAAAAGTCGGCACTTGCCTGCTGGCTGATTGCTTTGGGCATCTCAGTGGCAATGCAAGGCAGATGATGATGGGATGGGATCATGGGAGCGAGGGCAGGGGGGAGAGGTATTTTGAGGCACCTCAAAAGTCGGTGTGGGTGTGGGTGTGGGTGTGGGTGTGGGAGTGGGTGTGGGTGTGAGTGTGGGTGTGGGTGTGGGTGTGGGTGTGGGTGTGGGTGTGGGTGTGGGTGAGTGTGGGTGTGAGTGTGGGTGTGAGTGTGGGTGTGGGTGTGAGTGTGGGTGTGAGTGTGGGTGTGAGTGTGGGTGTGAGTGTGGGTGCGAGTGTGGGTGTGAGTGTGGGTGTGAGTGTGGGTGTGAGTGTGAGTGTGGGTGTGAGTGTGGGTGTGTGTGGGTGTGAGTGTGGGTGTGAGTGTGGGTGTGAGTGTGGGTGTGGGTGTGAGTGTGGGTGTGAGTGTGGGTGTGGGTGTGGGTGTGGGAGGCGATGCCACAGGAGCAGCTTTGCCCCTCTTGAAGCTAACGAGTGGGTGTAATAAAAGCATGCAGTGCATGCAGTAACCAGAACACACCATCTTGTGGTGGTGGGAGTGCGTGTGTGATGCATGTAACGCATGTAGTGCATGCAGTAACCAAAACATATGATCTCGTGGTGGTGAGAGTGCACGTGTGATGCAGGTATTCATGCATCAACCAGAACATACGATGTGGTGGGAGTGGGCGTGGGAGCCGACGCCACAGGAGCGGCTTTGTCCCTCTTGAAGCTGACTCGTTTAGAGTAGAAACACTTGACTCCGCTCCACCAGTCCAGCCCCCCGGCCTCCTCACATGCCGCCACTCGCACCGCCATCAGCAGCTGCCTCAGCAGCATCTGATCCTCCCGGGTGCTGTGTAAGGGGGGGGGAAAGGGAGCATATGAGGTGGGAGGGGAGAGGACAGGAAGGGAGTGATTCAGTGCGTGCTATCACCAGTCGCACCGCCATCAGCAGCTGCCTCAGCAAAACATCTGATCCTCCCGCGTGCTGCATGGGAGGGAGGGAAGGGATGGGAGGGAGGGACGGGCGGTGAAGAGGAAGAGAGTGAGTCAAGTCAAGGCATGCATTCACTTGACTCCGCTCCACCAGCCCCACCCCTCCGCCTCCTCACACGCCGCCACTCTCATCGACGCCACTCTCTCCCTTGGCTTCTCTTGGCGCTCAAACCTACTCTGGAACGTGGGGGTCGCCTCTTCTGAAGTACCGCCTCAACACCACCCACCTCTCAGGACTGGTGAGCCAGCTGAGGATAGTCGGAACGGACTCGGAGCAGAGGAGCAGCCTTAGGGAGTCGCTGCTGCGAATCTTCTCAGCTCGCACCAGCAGTGCCAGGTGCTTCTGGAATGTGAGGGTGAGCGCGCCCATGTTCATCCGTGCCTCAATGCACTCCTCTTCCCCTCCGCCCCCTCGCTCCCCACCCCGCTGCTGCTGCTGTGGCGGCTGCTGCTGCTGCTGCCCTGTTCCCACCATCCCCGTTCCTGACCCCCCTGTATCACCACCGACCTCTGAACCTCGTCCCTCTCCTGCTATAGCATCTCCGCTTCCTGCTGCTGCTGCTGCTACTCCACCCGTGCCTGCTGCTGCGTCCGTCTCACTCACTCGCACTCCCCGTGCCCACCAGCCCCCCATGAGCCCCTTCCAGCCAGCCCTGGCGTTCGCAGCACCCCCCCCTCTTCTTGCCGCATTCCCTGCTCCTTCAGTTGCTAGAGACCCTGCGCCTGCCCCCACACCTGCCCCTGCCCCCACACCTGCCCCTGCCCCTGCCCCTGCCCCTGCCCCTTCCGCTGCCCCTTCTCCTGCCCCTGCCCCTGTCCCCGTGGCCTCCCCCGCCCCCGGCCCATGCTCTGGCATGCCTTCATGCGGGGTCTCCTCCCACGACACCAGATTCTGCACGCGAATAGAAGGGGTTCTCCTCAGCACCGGCCCTCCTGCTGCTGCTGCTCCTCCTCCTGCTCCTGCCGCCGCCGCTGCTATTCCTACACGGAGGCCAAGCCCGGCCCTACTGGCCGCGGTAGAGAGCGCTCCAGAGCTCAGCCCACCCATGGCTCCCCCGCCTCCCACACCTCTCGGGACTCCCCCCCGCCACTGCCACTTGTGCTGCTGAAATCACTGCTATCGCTTTCAACACTTGCTGTATCACTGTCTCCCGCTCCTGCTCCTGCTCCCATTCCTCCTGCCCCTCCTCTCACTCCCCACACACCCCCACTCTCATTCCAAGTCCTCCTATTCCCTCCCATCCTGCTCCTCCTGACCCTCTTCCTCCTCCTCCTCCTCCTGCTGCGGCACCCATGTTGTCCACGTCAGCAGCAGCCACGCTGGAAGATGCCCAGATGACGTGGCTCTCCAGCTGAGGTGGCCACACGTCAGCCTCATCCAGCTCATACCACGAGTTCCTCCCTCCCCCTCGCTGCTGCAACAGTGGCTGCTGCTGCTGCTGGTCCACCAAACCATTCACCTGAGATTCACCAGGAGAAGAATCCCCTCTCTGTTGCTGGCCCATCCCGTGCACCTGACCGTTCAGCCTCCCTTCCCCCCCCCTCTCCACCCCATCTCCACCGCTCTGCACCCTTTCTTCCGCCCCACTGTCCAGCCCTCTCTCCCCACTATTTCCCTCCACTCCGCCCCTCTGCACCCCTCCAATACCGACCCCACTCCCCGAACCATCCCCATTTACCAAACCTCCCCCACCTACCGAACCATTCCCCAGGCTCTCCCTTCCCTGGCATTCCTCCCCCGAGGCATGCCACACGCCATGCGCCCTGCAGAACCACCCATCCTTAGGCACCCTCGCTACAGTCACATGGCCAGTGCTCGCCCCCAGCAGCGCCTGTGCGAGCACAGCATACAGCTGCGGCTTCTTCAGGTGGTTTAGCCAATCCATGGGCGCCAAACCGACCAATCGGCACGTCTCGAACCGATCCCGAACGCGCAGCAGCAGTCGCCGCTCCTCAGTTCGGTTGGTGAGGAGAGTCGCAAAGATGATGTGAGGGCGGAACCAGGCGCATATGTCTTGAGCGGGGACCAGGTCATAGGGGTCCATTTTATCGAATCGGGCCTTTTGGCGCTTGCGCTCGGCTTTCCACACGCGGTGCAGCATGCGCGCGTTTGCGAGGTCGAGGTGATTGTTTACACAGTCGTAAACGAGGAGCGTTATAGTGGGGATGAGGATGAAGGCGGAGGAGAAGCCGAAGAGGATCTGAGAGAAGAGGGAGAGGTTGAGGTAGTTGTAGCAGACGAGCGAGAGCGTGAAGAAGAACTGGCCGAGGGTGAGCAGCGCCTGCAGGTACTCCAGAGAGAGCGAGGCGAGGGGCGAGGTCTTGTAGTGCGTGGCTATGCGGAGAGCCTGCAGGAGAAGGATGATTATCACCTGGTGGAGGGGACGGAGAGGGAGGGGAGAAGAGGGGAGGGGAGAAGAGGGGAGGGGAGAAGAGGGGAGGGGAGGAGAGAGGACGTGTCACATGAGGCACCACCTGTAATGCAGCGGGAGAAGAGGGGAGGGGAGGAGAGAGGACGTGTCACATGAGGCACCACCTGTAATGCAGCGGGAGAAGAGGGGAGGGGAGGAGAGAGGACGTGTCACATGAGGCACCACCTGTAATGCAGCGGGAGAAGAGGGGAGGGGAGGAGAGAGGACGTGTCACATGAGGCACCACCTGTAATGCAGCGGGAGAAGAGGGGAGGGGAGGAGAGAGGACGTGTCACATGAGGCACCACCTGTAATTCAGCGGGAGAAGAGGGGAGGGGAGGAGAGAGGACGTGTCACATGAGGCACCACCTGTAATGCAGCGGGAGAAGAGGGGAGGGGAGAAGAGGGGAGGGGAGAAGAGGGGAGGGGAGAAGAGGGGATGGGGGTTTGACCGTTGAGATAGTTGCAGCAGGCGAGCGAGAGCGTGAAGAAGCACTGGCCGAGGGTGATCAGCGCCTGCAGGTCCTCCAGAGAGAGCGACGCGAGGAGCAACGACTTGTAGTATGTGATGACGTCAAGGCATGATGGGCGACGTGAAGTGCCGCTGCGGGGGGGGAGGAGAAGGGGGAAAGGGGAAAAGGAGGGGAGAAAGGGAGGGGAGAGGGGAGGAAGAGTGAGGGGGAGAGGGAAGGAAGGGAACCAAGGTAGTCTGATGAGGCTAACTTGGCTGCGCTGGGCTAGGAGTGAGGGCTAGGAGTGAGGGCTAGGAGTGAGGGCTAGGAGTGAGGACGAGGTCCCTCAAAAGGAAGAGGCTAGGACTTGTAGTGCATGGTGATGTGTGCTAAGTCTCAGCTTCTTAAACGACGGGAAGCACTGCATGCTTGGTCTCCTGCTGAAAGAACACCGGGATGAACGGGACGAAAAAGTAGGATCCGAATGGGCGTGCGTCCATGATGGTGTGAACGAGTGGCCGCCTACCTGCGGCTTGGTCTCGTGCTGCAGGAACACGAGGATACAGCCGTGCAGAGTGTGTTAGAAATGCATACAATGGGATGCGCATGTGGGACGATCAAGCAGGAGCGTGCGTGAGGGTGTGACCGAGTGGGCATCTACTACCTGCGACTTGGTTTCCTGCTGCAGGAACACGAGGATACAGCCGTGCAGCACCCTCAACCCTATGTTGGTCAGATGCCACCTGCGGCAGTGAGTGGAGGAGGGGGGGAGTAAGGGAGCGGCAAGAGGGGATTGGAAATAGGAGAACACACCCACGCAACACCTTTAACTTAACCCTATGGTGGTCAGATCAGATCCCACCTGGTGCAGTGGAGAGAGTAGGAGAGGGCGGTAAGGGAAGGACTGCGGGATTGGAATTAGGGGGATGGGATACACAGCCATGGAGCATTCTCGGACCCACGTTGGTCAGATAGCACCAGGAGAGGAGAGAGAACGAGCGGCAGGGGGTAATAGGAGGGGACAAAGCTGGGAAAACAGAGGCTGGGTTTAGGAATAGAGTTGTGCAGCACCCTCAGGCCCATGCTGGTGAGCTGCCACCTGCAGCGGCGAGAGGAGGAGGAGGAGAGTAAGGGAGCGGCAAGAGGGGATTGGAAATAGGAAGATACACCCACGCAGCACCCTCAACTCAACCCTACGGTGGTAAGGTGCCACATGCAGCAGTGGGCAGGAGAGGAGAGAGCGGTAAGGGAAAGACAGCACGGTTGGACAACATGCCAACATGCAGCACCCTCAGACCCACGTTGGTCAGATGCCACCTGAAGTTGTGGAGTCTCGGGTTTAGCCACTCACCACCAGAAGTTCAGAGAGAAGCGCTCGGTGAGCCACCCAAACCGCTGTTTGAATATAGTAGAAGAGAGCATTTCGCACGCGTGTGAGTCGACCAGCACGCCAGCGAAGAGCACCGGTAGCAAAGAGCACCAGTAGCCTGACACCAAGTAGACTAGAAGTATAAGTAACGAGCATGGCGGCTACCACTTTCTTGTCGCCATTCCACTCACCACCAGAATTTGGGAGTGAATCGTTCGGTGAGCCACCCGAATCTCTGTTTGAAGAGCGCGGAAGAGAGCACGTCGCACGTGTGTGCGTCGATCAGCACGCCAGCAAAGAGCGCCGGCAGCCCCACCAGGTACACCAGCGTAACCAGCACGGCGGTAACCAGCATGCCAACATGCACGGGGGAGAGCCAGAGGATCTGCGGCGCCGCTGCCATCACTGTTGCCGAGCCGACCGTTTGGGACTGAAAGGAGGGGGGATGAGAGGAGGGGGGGGCTTTTGAGCTGACCGTTTGGGGCTGGAAGGAGGGGGATGGGAGGAGGGGAAGGGGTGCTTGGGCTATTGGGCATGTGGTTCTTTGACATAGGTGCGTGCATAGCATGGCATGGGATTGTCGAGAAAAAAAAAACCATTTCGCGATGCAACTTGCACCCCTTCGCCTTGAGATGTTGCAGCACTTTGACCATCACGGACACGTAGTAGCAGTTGCCATGAGTGCACTCACGGACACGTAGTAGCAGCTGCCATGAGTGCACTCACAGACACGTAGTAGCAGCTGCCATGAGTGCACTCGAATGAAGAATGAGCCACCCAGCCACCGGTATTGCCAAACACCTTCAACACTTGCAGCACTTTGACCATCACACGCTTCAAACTTAAAGCCTGCCTCGCCTTGATGGAAGCACGTAATCACCATCCCGCCGTCTCACCTTGAAGACTTGCAGCACTTTGACCATGACCGACACGTAGCAGATGTCCAGCCACTTGAGCGAAGCGTGCACGATCGAGTTCTCATACTCGTTATAAGCCCGCCGCTTCGTTACAGAGTGCTGGAGTAAGCGCTGCTTCTGCCGCTCCTTGCGCTGCCACGAGTGCACCCGTATGAAGAACGAGCCACCCAGCCAGCGGTGGTGCGCAAACACTAGTGCGTAAACGAGGAGGCCTATAACAGGGATGAGAATGTTCATGTAGAATTTGCCTGTGAACTGCAGAGAGAACACGCACTCCGGCCCTATGATGTCCTGCACAAGGGGAGAGAGGGAAAGAGGTGGATGCAGAGCACAGGGAGAGAAGAAGAGGTGGATGCATGCAGACAGTCAGACAGCCAGTCAGGGGAGGAGGAGGACAGGAGAGAGCACACGCACTGACGCACTCCGCCCCTATCATGTCCTGCACTGCACAGGAGAGCGAAAAAGAGGTAGATACAGTCAGTCAGTCAGTCAGTCCGTCAGTCAGTCAGTCAGTCAGGGGAGGAGGACGGGAGATCAGAATTTCTTTCAGGCAGCACCCGCTGGCTTGGCTTTGAGATGCCTCAGAGCAGAATGGAGTTACAGGCAGCACCGTACGCCTGACTGAGAAAAAAAAAGCGATGCTTTCGGTCACACTTACCTGTGGCGAAAGCACACTTGCGGCTCACTCGCCAAGCCGAAGGCGGCAATGCTGTAGAGCAGCAGTACGGGAATGCTGTAGAGCAGCAGTACGGGAATGCTGTAGAGCAGCAGTACGGGGTAAGACAGCGTTGGTCTTGACCCAGGTGGGGAAGTTGAGCTTGCAGTGGGACAATACCATTGCCAGCAGCAGCTGCACCTCTGATTGGCACTGCGATGAGCAGCATTGCGATGAGCAGTCGCCGTCACGGGACCCAGAACCACCCACAGGATTCAAAGGAAGAACCACTCACAGGATCAAAGGCAGCGATATTACAGAGTAGAACCACAGTCTTGACCCATGAGGCGGGGTAGTTGACGTGAGGGTTGAAGAAGATCACCACCACCATGGTCAGCAGCTGCAGCACTGATTGCAGAGCAGTCACTGTTGAGCAGCGCTATGAGGATGTTGCCACCATGGGAGCTGCTATGAGGATGTTATTTGTTCGACCCAAGGTAAACAAACTCACGGGGTCGAACGCAGCGATATTATAGAGCAGCACCACGGTCTTGACCCAGGAGGCGGGGAAGTTGAGGTTGAAAGACGCCACCATCGCCAGCAGCTGCACCTCGGTGAGGAATATGTCCATCGCTGCAAAGGTGTCGGCCAGCATGTTCATCGCCACCCACACCACCAGCACTATGACTAGAAGGAGAGGGAAGACCTGGGAAGGGGAGGGATGGAGGGAGGGGCGGATGGGAGGGTATAAGGGGCAAGGGGCTCGCCAGCAGCTGCTCCTCGGTGAGGAAGATGTCCAGCGCTGCAAAGGTGTCGGCCGACGGCCAGCATGTTCATCGCCACCCACACCACCCCGACGATCATGAGCAGAAGCACCAAGACCTGACGGAGGGGAGAGGGGGTGGAAGGGTGGGGTGGGGCATGCCGCATGGGGGATGCCAGTCACGGGGCCAGCAGCTGCACCTCGGTGAGGAAGGCAGATGTCCATGGCTGGCTGGGAACGTGTCCGCTAGAGGAGCCTATCCTTGAGGCGCCTCAAAAATAGATGTCCATGCCATGGCTGCGAACGTGTCTGCTGCTGCCTGGCAGCAGGTTCATCGCCACCAACACAACCAGCACTATGATCAGAAGAAGAGGGAAGATCGTGAATGAGAGGTGGCTCTAAGCACGTGTAGTCTGAGAGTCTGCTTTTGACTCGATTCAAAGCAGGGGCAGGGCAGTGAATGAGAGCCGGTTCTATTCTAACCACTAATTTTGAGGCGCCTAAACAACAGGCTGCTTAGCTAACTCACTGGAAGAATGCCTGGGAAGGAATGCGTGAGGAGTCTCTTTTTTAGGAATGCGTGAGGAGTCTATTTTTTAGGCGCCTCAAAAATAGACTCCTCACGCAGGACCTGATACGAAATGGGACATTCCACCCGATGAGAGGAAGGGGCCGTGACGTGAATGAGAGGTGGCTCAAAGCACTCACAATTCCCGGGTAGAACTGCTCTATGCTATAGCGCTACCCACCGATTTGAAGGCAGAGGTGCACTGCTCGCAGAACTGCAGCACGAGATAGTAGCCGTCCGCACACAGGGAGCACATGCTGCACCGGCAAGACAGAGAGAACATGGCAGAAAGAAGCGACGAGCAAAGGGGGGTGTGAGACAGCCAGTAGGTGCTTCTTTCTAGCTGCAGCACGAGCTGGTAGCTGTCTGAAAGTATAGTCCATCATAGTCTGAAAGTAACCATCATACTCTCTGCAGTCGATTTTTTAGTCGACTCAAAAATCTCCTCTGCAGTCCAACAGTGGGGACAGGATCCGAAATGCACCAGGCCTTTTGGCATCTGAGGCGCCTCAAAGCCAGCGGCGAAGGCGCAGCAAAGTCAGCGCAATGGTCAAGGCAGGGTGTGAGGCCACAAGGTCCCCACATCCAGAGTACTGACGGCACTGTGATGTTGCGTTGCATCTCACGGCACACTGACTGAGTGAGAAGGGTGTAGGTGGGGTGGGGGGGACAGACAGACTGCTTACCCTGGAGTTCAAATGTCAACCTCCACTGCCCCACAAACTCACGCCACGGTCGTGTTATATCCGACGCATTGAGTGGTGTTGAGGATCATGCCATGAAGGCACGGCAAGGAACTTACGTGTGTAATGCTATGAACGGCAAGGAACTCAAAAGTCGACTCATTAACATGCCATGAAGGCACGGCAAGGAACTTACGTGTGTAATGCTATGAACGGCAAGGAACTCAAAAGTCGACTCATTAACATGCCATGAAGGCATGGCAAGGAACTTACGCCACCGTGTTGTTGTAGCCCACGGCACACTGCGTGGTGTTAGGCCCAGTGTAGGTGGTGCCAGAGCAGCCGTTGGTGAGCAGACACGCATATGTGGTGGGCGTGCTGTTGAGAGATGCTGGGTCCAGCCAGTTCTGGTAGTCGATCTGGGAAGAGAGGGATGGGCAGGATGGGGAGCGGAGGGCGGACGGAAAGGCAAGTGGGGTAGGCAGGTGAACCAGCCGTTGGTTTGGTGGGCATGCTGTTGAGTTGAGGGATGTTGGGTCCAGCCAGTTCTGGTTGTCGACAACCAGAATTGGCCCAACACACAGGCGTGTGCCATTTGCCATAGCATCTCCACGCACCCACCTGCATGGTGCCGTAGCGGCAGTCGAGGCTGTCATCGTCACACGGCGTGCACTCGTCCTCCGACACGGCATTGGGGTAGAACGTGAACGTGCCGTCTGGGCACGTCTCCATGCCCTGGCCGGGGGCACACCTGGGAGGGAAGAAAGGTGCGGGATAGACAGCACCAATGCTTTGAAAAACGGCGGTGGGATAGGATAGGAGGTGAACGTGCTGTCCGGACAGGTCTCCATACCCTGCCCTGGCGCACACCTGAGGTGAACGGGAGGGGGGTGGGATGAGACATACAGTGATCAGGGAGGGATGGGTAAGCGGAGAGGTGACGCCTGGAGGCACAGCGTTGAGGTAGAGTGCTCTGGCCCCGGGCACACGTGGTGCGTTGTGTGTGGGGCGGGAGGAGAGAAGGGAGGAGGTAAACGGTGGTTTGAGACACGGCATTGGGGTACAATTCGAGCGTGCTGGCTGGAAATGTTGCCATGCCCAGTCCCCAGTAGACATGGGCAGCATGCCCAGTCCCCAGTAGACATGGGCAGCATGCCCAGTCCCTAGTAGACATGGGCAGCATGCCCAGTCCCCAGTAGACATGGGCAGCATGCCCAGTCCCCAGTAGACATGGGCAGCATGCCCAGTCCCCAGTAGACATGGGCAGCATGCCCAGTCCCCAGTAGACATGGGCAGCATGCCCAGTCCCCAGTAGACATGGGCAGCATGCCGAGCCTGGCTCGACTCGGCTCGTCTCGACCACGAGCCAAGTAAAAGTCGAGCCGAGCCGGCTGCCCGAAAATGGCTGGCTCGACTCGGGGTTTGAGGGTCGAGCCAAGGGCCGGCTCGACTTTGGCTCGGCTCGGCTCGACTCGACAGAGGGGGAGCATTGTGATCGTTAGCGTTCTTGACAAGAGTAGAAAGTGGGCGTTTGGCGGACATAAAAAATCTAGGTGTTAGAATATTCTCCCTTCATTCTATTAGCCTACATCGTTTCATTGTCTTAGGTACTTATAAGCACCCCACTAGGGCGTATACACCCAAGTTGGGGGTTGGGTTCCCAAATTGGTTGGGCTCCCAATTATTGGAACCCCCAATAATCCCAACCAAGATTATTGGACCCACCAATAATCTTGGCTAGGATTATTGGACCCCCAATAAGTTGGCCAACTCAACTTATTGGGGTCCCCAATAATCGTGGTCACCTCCCAACCAAACCCCCCCTTCCTACTCCTCACCTATGTATACCCACTCTTTTCTTAATACTCTTTTCTCACACTAGGTCCTAAACAGAAATGGCCATTGCTGGTGTACCCTAAAAACGTGATTTCCTGAACCCTAATAACCTAAAACACTCTAGTTAATGTCGGACTGAACTTACGGAGTGAGATTAATGGGGCTTAGGCATGCTAGGCTGGCGTGGTGGGTGTAAGCAGCGCTTAGAGAGTTACTGGAAATTGAGAACCAGAAATGGGTTTCGATTTCCAGGGGGGGGCGAGCCGCGCGACTGGACAGTCGAGCCGAAATCGAGCTGGCTCGACTTCAGCTCGCCCAAAAATTTCCGACGAGCCGAGCCGAGCCGCGCGGCTCGACCGGCTCGACTCGGCTCGACTCGGGGCGAGCCTGCCAAAAACAAACCCCGGCTCGACTCGCTAAAAAGGCGAGTCGAGCGGGGTCGAGCCGAGCATGGCTCGGCACGCTGCCCATGTCTAGTCCCCAGTAGACATGAGCACGGGGCGAGGCGAGGATTCCTTGACTCGAGGATCTCATCCTCGCGCCCTAGCCGAGGCGGGTCGAGGAATCCTCGCCGAGGATTTTTCATGAAAATCCCCCCTCGACCCCCGGGTTTTGGGGTCGAGGATTGAAATCCTCGCCTCGAGGATTAATTCCTTGACCCGGGGCGAGGATTCCTTGACCTGGGCGGCTGGGGGGTTAGGGGGAGAGGGGTAATGGGAACATCCTCGCCCATTTGCCTCGAGGAAAAATCGAGGCCTCGAATCCTCGCCGAGGCGGGGCGAGGAATCCTCGCGAGGATTTTTCCCAGAAAACCTGCCTCGACCCCCGGAATTTCGAGGCGAGGATTTCCGAGGCGAGGAAATCCTCGCCTCATTGCTCATGTCTAGTCCCCAGGCACACCTGGTGGTGGTGAGATGCGAGAGGTTTGGGCTGGGGGGGCAAGGGAGTGGAAGACGAATTGAACTAGCCGGGGGATAAATACGAGATAAGTCAAGGGATAGACGTCATTCATGAACCAGCAAATGACCACCGTGGTATTTTCACAGCACTACTAGCAGCAACACAAGCCGCATTGGCTGACAACCCACCAGCAGCAGCAGACAAACCTAATCCAGAGCCAAACCATCAACGGTTGGCAGGGGGCAGGGGGATTAGACAGCTGAACCTTTCTCCATCGAGTGTGTTTTTTATTGAGGCGCCTTTAACGGCAATTGGACTTCAGTAGTTAATGCAGCGGTAGAGCAGCAGTTACCAGTGGCCCATGCGACAACCCTGGAAGCTGAAACTCCAGGCATAAACCACAAGCCCTCCCTTGAGACACCCCAAAAGTCAACCCTAGGGCAGCATACCAACCAGTGGCCCGGCCAGAACATACACTAGATCTGTTTGCTGGCAACTCACCAGTGGCCCACTGGGCAATCCTGGCAGCTGAAGCTTTCTCCATCGAAGTACTGCCCGGCCGGGCAGAACGAGATGTTGAAGGGGTGGGAGAAGTCCGGGAAGGCGTTGGTGATGGAGGAGACCGTGACCGTGAGCGGTATCGGCTGTAGCGCGTCCGCCGGCGACACGCGGACAGCAATGGGCGGCACGGTGATGATGCCGGCCTGCGCCGTGCCCCTGAGTGACCCGCTGATGCGGCTGTCAGGGGATACACGGGCCAAGGCCGAGTCGTCCTGGGAGGCGTTGGGTGGTGAGGGAGGGGGGCAATGAGGGGCAATGGGCGGCACGGTGATGATGCCAGCCGGCCTGTGCCGTGCCCCGCAAGGACCCACTGATGCGGCTGTCGGGCGAGACACGAGCCAAGGCCGAGTCGTCCTGAGGGGAAAGGCGAGGTGGCACGGAAGGGGACTTGGTGAGATAATGGAGGGAGAGAGAGGGAGTGGGAGAGCCTTGCAGCAACCCGCTGATGCGAGTCGTCCTGCCGGGTCAGGAGGGAGGCAGTCTAGCAAACGCTGAGTTGACTTGAAGAGGGGTGGGCGGGGAAAGGGGGGAAGGGAAGGGGAGGGGAGGGGTTGTAAGAGTGGGGGGATGGTCTTGAGGGGGGTAGTGGGAGAGTGCATCGCAGTGACCCGCTTATGTGGCCCAAAGCTGAGTTGTGCTGCGAGTGGTGTGAGGCGGATGGGGAGAAGGTTGTGACTTTTGAGTCGACTCAACATTCACCAACACTGAGGGGTCCTGCAGGTGGTGTGAGGAGGACGAAGGGGAGGTTGTGGGTGGCTGGCTTGTAGGGAGACAAGTGAGAGAGAGTGCCTCAGCAAGCAAGCCACTCGGGGCCAAGGCACACACTGGGAAGAAAGAGGAAGGCGGGCTTTAAAATTTGAGGGGAAGGGAGCAGTTGGGCTCAGGCGAAATGCCTCCGTTGATTCCCAAATCTCAAAAGTCAAAACCTCCAAAACATTCAATGCCATGCACAGACATGAGCAACGGGCTGGGCCGGGCCTGGCCGTTCACAAGTGGGACCGGCCTGGCTCGTCGTGCACTGGACTTCGGGCCGGCCGGCTCAAAATTCAGCCCATGTCAGGCCAGCCCCCAGCCCGCCCATCGAGCGGGGCCGAGCCGGCCCTCCGCCCGTGGGCTCCCAGGACGTCGGCCGGGCCAACCCCGGCCTGTGGGCCAGGCCAGCCGTCGAAGACCTGCACGACCCGGACTGTGCAGGTAGAATCTTCCAACTTCAAGGTGGAATCTGCGTGGATTGGCGGACAAAACGCCAGCTGGCTGGACCGGGCACACTCATTGCACGGGACGGGCCCCTCCTGGCCTGGACCGGGCCAGCCCTCTGGCCATCCCGTGCTCATGTCTACTGTACAGAGTGGTTCTGAAGACCCCTCTTACCTTAAAGACGAAAATTCCAAACTTTTTCACCACCACCACCAGTGCACCAGCATCTGCCTTTCTTACCTTACCTCAAATCTCTGTCGGGCTCATGCAGATGAGTTGGTGCTCAAGGTACTCATTACCTTGGAGACAACGTTTCCAAATTGATCCACCACCACCACCTGCAGTCCAGTCAGCATGGATCCCATGGCGCCGACCACTGAGAAGCTGCCACCTGTCTCCTTGGATGATGCTGCCGCCCCCGGCCATCTGAAATGGGGATGAGATGGATGGGATGGGATGGGATGGGATGGGATGGGATGGGATGGGATGGGATGGGATGGGATGGGATGGGATGGGATGGGATGGGATGGGATGGATGGGATGGGATGGGATGGGATGGGATGGGATGGGATGGGATGGGATGGGATGGGATGGGATGGGATGGGATGGGATGGGATGGGATGGGATGGGATGATTCGAAACAAGGGATGACAACAAGGGCCACACATGAAAACGACTCCGACTTCTTCAGCCGACCACCTCTTGAGCAACACAGATGGAACGCAACAGGTTGAACACCAGCAGGCCGAATATCAGGGGAGCGAAATGGGCCCTGTACTCTTTACAAGCGCACTCACGTGAGGTAGAAGTCTGCCGGCATGCTGCCCTGTGTGTCTGGCGGCTGCAGCATCAGACAGTCCCCACAGGCGGACCGCAGGTCAGGACTGTAGGAAGCTTCGAAGAAGGCCACTCCGTGCGCGTCCATGGCACTGTTGCCATCAAACACCAAGCCTCGACAGAGAACCTGATTGGTCGACTGGAGAGAGGCGGATGAAGAGGAGGTGGTGCCATTTGGAGTAGAAGCGCCACCAGTAGCTGCCGTTTCCCTCATTCTGCTGCTGCTGCTGCTGCTGCTAGCCAATGCAATCCTCCTGGAGTTCCTGGCTCTCTTAGCTCTCTTTTCACGCGCAGACGCACTCCCCTGAGGGCTATCAGCTGCAGCAGAGCGCAGCAAATACACCCCAGCGCCCCCCACCACCGCATAGTTCCCTGCAAACCTCGACCCCGTGATCTCCCCAGTCACCTGCTCCAAAACCGCCACTCCCCCTCCCGCCTTCGTCGCATTATTCCCAGAAAAAACCGAGTCCCCCATGGCGAACGAAGTAGTGCCTGCAAGGGCCACCCCTGCGCCGATCTGAGCGATGTTCCGGGTGAAATGTGAGCCGTTGATCGTGAGATACGGGCCGCCTTCGGTGCTCACTGCGCCGCCAAGTGCTGCCCAGTTCTTGGCGAAATGGCACGAGTGGACGGCGACCGTCGTCCTGTCTCCGACCAGCATCGCCCCGCCCCTCCCTGCCGCGTTGGAATTCCGAGAAAAGCTGCAGTTTCTAAGGGACCCCTGGGAAAACCCCTGGAAGAGGATTGCCGACAAGGTGTTGTTTTCAAACGCACAGTCGCTTGCTGACACCCTCGCCTCTGCTCCAACCACCAACGCTCCCCCATGCAGCGCCGAGTTGTCCCGAAACACGCTCCCGCCTCGCACCTCCACTCTTGACACGTGCGTCGCGTACACTGTCCCGCCGAGGTACTGCGCACGGTTACCAGCGAGCATCGTCCGGTTATCGATGATGAGCGATGCACCCATTTCGACCCACACGGCCCCGCCCCACGCGGCGGTGTTGCGGGAGACGGAGGAGGAGAGGAGGGAGAGGTGCGCGCTGCCACTGATGCGAGCTGCCCCACCCTCGCTGCCGCCCTCGTTGCCCTGCAGCACAGAGTCGGTCACCGTGGCCTGGGCATTGGCCAGCAGAGAGAGGCAGGCACCTCCTGTGAGGGCTCTGGAGGAGAAGAAAGGGGGAAGAGAAGGGGCTGAGAGGTTGAAGGGCGAGGTGCACGCTGCCCCGCCCTCGTGCCGTTCTCGTTGCCCTGCGGCAGAGTCGGTCACCGTGGCCTGGGCGCTGGCTAGGAGGGAGAGGAGAGGCAGGCACCGCCTGTGAGGGCAGTGGGGAGATATGGGAGGGTCAGGGAGGGGAAAAGACAGAGGATGTGCCAATCTAACACACAGAGCTGCGCCCCCCTCGCTGGTGCCCTGTTAGCCAGCAGAGAGAGACAGGCACCTCGTTAGAGGCCTCTATGTGCGTGAGGTTTGGTTTGGGATGCCCTGGGGATCAAGACATCATTCGTGTGTAATAAGTCGATTTTTGAGTCGACTAGAAATCGACTTATTACACATGGTGGGATGCCCTGGGGATCAAGACATAATTATTACACACGGTGGGATGCCCTGGGGATCAAGACATCATTCATGCTAAATATCGTCTCACATGCTTCGGTGTCCAATCGCATGTTCTCAACGTGACTGGCGGCACGGCAGGGCACCCTTGGCACGTTTCAGTTAAAACTCACACATGTTACTGTACTGTGTCATCTCATATGCTACCGTGTCATCTCACATGTTCCCTTGGCACCGGGGTGCATGTCATGTCGACCCTTGAGAACTCCTGCACAAGTACGGCGCCGCCCAGCCCGGTGCTGTTGTTGGCCTCCACCACACACGCCTGCAAGCGCGTGCGCACGCTCAGCCCCGAGTAGATGGCGCCTACCCCGAGTACCACTTCCTTCCCCCCCAGATACAACATCTCTCCCCCTAGTATTACCTCCCCTTAGTGCTGTCTGGATGCATTAGGAGGATCTGTTGAGAGCACGTTACACTCTTGGTGCGTTTCCGTTTCATCGCGCACGCATGGTTAGAGTTCCATCTCACATGTTCCCTTGGCACAGCGTGCGTGTCATGTCGACCCGTGAGAACTCCTGCACAAGCACGGCGCCACCCAGCCCGGTGCTGTTGTTGGCCTCCACCACACACGCCTGCATGCGCATGCGCATGCTCAGCCCCGAGTAGATGGCACCTCCCCCTAGTACCGCCTCGTTGCGCACAAAGCGGCAGGAGAGGAAAGAGGCTTCTGTGGGCACACCATCGCTGCTGGAGGCATAGACTGCAGGGGGTGGTTGGGCAGGGTGAAAGGAGCGGGGGGGGTTGGGCAGGGTGAGAGAAGGGGGCGGGTGGGCAGAGTGAAAGGGGGAGGGGGTGGGCAGGGTGAAAGGAGGGGGATGAGAGCAGGGTGAAAGGGGGAGGGGGTGGGCAGGGTGAAAGGAGGGGGATGAGGGCAGGGTGAAAGGAGGGGGATGAGGGCAGGGTGAAAGGAGGGGGATGAGGGCAGGGTGAAAGGAGGGGGATGAGGGCAGGGGATGAATTCTGCTTTTGAGTCGACTCAAAAGGAGGGGGGGGAGGGGATGAATTCTGCTTTTGAGCCGACTCAAAAGGAGGGGGGGGAGGGGATGAATTCTTGTACTTTTGCGAGCGTAGATGGCTTTCAATTTTTATATTGCCTTGTTGCCACAAAGCAGCTGGAGAAGAAGGGATGTTCTGTGGGTAAGCCAGGTCACTTCAGCATAAGCACCTCTCGTGGTATTTATACCTGTTGCGCTGATCACTGTAATCATTCCCACGAAAAAAAGGAAGAGGTAAGGCGAGGTAAAAGGACTCGGAGCAAAGGCAAGCGATAGGGAAGATGCCAGTAAGATTTTTTTTTTTTTTTATTATTTTTTTTTAATGAATTACCTGCGACTACCCCCTTCAACCTGTTTCCATCCATTGCCTCACTCACCTGCCACTGCCCCCCCCTGCAGCCCTGCTTTATTGCCGTCTAGTGTGACATTATCAAAGGTGATAGACACCGACTCGCTGTAGACTGCCCCGCCCTTGGAGCTCTCTGCCGTGTTGTTGACGAACGTGGTGTTCACCACTCGCACTGCCCCCGTGCCCTGATACACCCCATTGGGAAAGGGAGGGTAGCAAGAGGTCGCAGAAGGGTATGAGACAGACAGAGAGTAGGAGTGTCTCGCTGGACATGCCCCACCCCCTTGGAGCTCCCAGCTGTGTTGTTGATGAATTTGCTGTCGACCACTCGCACTACCCCCGTGCCCTGATACACCCCATTGGGAAAGGGGGGGCAACAAGAGGAGGGTTTGACACAGAGAAAAGAAGTGACTCGCTGTAGACCGCCCCTCCCTTGGAGCTCTCCGCTGTGTTGTTGACGAACGTGCTGTTGACCACTCGCACTGTGCCTGTGCCCTGAGAGACGGGGAGAGAGGCAGTGCAAGGTGACAGAGAGTGACTCGCTCTAGAGACTGCCCCTCCCTTGGAGCTCCCAGCAGTGTTGTTGCCGATCGTGGAACTGGCGCCTTTGACTGCCCCCGTGCCCTGATACCCCAATTGGGAAAGGGAGGTCAGGACAGCAAGTGGTTGCAAAGAGGTATGAGACAGAGAGTAGGAGTGATTCGCTCTACATCCCGCACCCCCTTAGAGCTCCCAGCCGTATTGTTGGTGAATGTGGACCTGACGACCCTGACTGCGCCTGAGCCCTGGTATCAGGGTTTCGGGTTTAGGGTTTAGGGTTTGTGCCCTGGAGGAGCAAGTGCGGATAGGAGTGGAGGGACGAATAGGGAGATTAAACGACCCAGAATCGAGCTCTAAGGGTCCCCCTTGAGCTCTCTGTTGCATGGTTGTTGATGAATGCGCTGCTGACACAAGCTCGCACTGCCCCCCTGTGTGCCCTAAAGGCAGAAGTGAGGACAAGCGAAGGCACGGATAGGGAGAGGAAGGTTTGAACCGACTCTGACTCCTTTGTAAAGCCCCACCCCCCCTAGGGCCCTCAGGCGTGCTCTTGATGAGCGTGCTGCTGCTGACAACTCTGACTGTGCCCGTGCCCTGGGAATGGGTGTGTGGGTGCAAAGGCGCAGACGGAGAGGAGACGGGAGCAGCTGAGAAGCCGAGGTGAGCAACAGGGTAAGAGCAGCAGGAAGGAAGGAAACGAGACTGGGCGCAGTCTCACGGCTTTTAGAGCAGTACCACTCACATCTCAACTCAATGCGTACACATTGATAGCACCCCCGTTCTGCTTGAGCATGGAGTTTCGTTGGAAGAGCGAGATGGCGATGGTACGCCTGGCAGGAAGTGCAGCGGAGGTAGGTGGCTAACCTGGCCTCACACCCTACTCGCCCCATACACATTGAAAGCACCCACAACTCACCCCATACACATTGAAAGCACCCACAACTCACCCAATACACATTGAAAGCACCCACAACTCACCCCATACACATTGAAAGCACCCACAACTCACCCCATACACATTGAAAGCACCCACAACTCACCCCATACACATTGAAAGCACCCACAACTCACCCCATACACATTGAAAGCACCCACAACTCACCCAATACACATTGAAAGCACCCACAACTCACCCAATACACATTGAAAGCACCCACAACTCACCCCATACACATTGAAAGCACCCACAACTCACCCCATACACATTGAAAGCACCCACAACTCACCCAATACACATTGAAAGCACCCACAACTCACCCAATACACATTGAAAGCACCCACAACTCACCCAATACACATTGAAAGCACCCACAACTCACCCAATACACATTGAAAGCACCCACAACTCACCCCATACACATTGAAAGCACCCACAACTCACCCAATACACATTGAAAGCACCCACAACTCACCCAATACACATTGAAAGCACCCACAACTCACCCCATACACATTGAAAGCACCCACAACTCACCCCATACACATTGAAAGCACCCACAACTCACCCCATACACATTGAAAGCACCCACAACTCACCCAATACACATTGAAAGCACCCACAACTCACCCAATACACATTGAAAGCACCCACAACTCACCCAATACACATTGAAAGCACCCACAACTCACCCAATACACATTGAAAGCACCCACAACTCACCCAATACACATTGAAAGCACCCACAACTCACCCAATACACATTGAAAGCACCCACAACTCACCCAATACACATTGAAAGCACCCACAACTCACCCAATACACATTGAAAGCACCCACAACTCACCCAATACACATTGAAAGCACCCACAACTCACCCAATACACATTGAAAGCACCCACAACTCACCCAATACACATTGAAAGCACCCACAACTCACCCAATACACATTGAAAGCACCCACAACTCACCCCATACACATTGAAAGCACCCACAACTCACCCCATACACATTGAAAGCACCCACAACTCACCCAATACACATTGAAAGCACCCACAACTCACCCAATACACATTGAAAGCACCCACAACTCACCCAATACACATTGAAAGCACCCACAACTCACCCCATACACATTGAAAGCACCCACAACTCACCCCATACACATTGAAAGCACCCACAACTCACCCCATACACATTGAAAGCACCCACAACTCACCCCATACACATTGAAAGCACCCACAACTCACCCAATACACATTGAAAGCACCCACAACTCACCCAATACACATTGAAAGCACCCACAACTCACCCCATACACATTGAAAGCACCCACAACTCACCCAATACACATTGAAAGCACCCACAACTCACCCAATACACATTGAAAGCACCCACAACTCACCCAATACACATTGAAAGCACCCACAACTCACCCAATACACATTGAAAGCACCCACAACTCACCCAATACACATTGAAAGCACCCACAACTCACCCAATACACATTGAAAGCACCCACAACTCACCCAATACACATTGAAAGCACCCACAACTCACCCCATACACATTGAAAGCACCCACAACTCACCCCATACACATTGAAAGCACCCACAACTCACCCCATACACATTGAAAGCACCCACAACTCACCCAATACACATTGAAAGCACCCACAACTCACCCAATACACATTGAAAGCACCCACAACTCACCCAATACACATTGAAAGCACCCACAACTCACCCCATACACATTGAAAGCACCCACAACTCACCCCATACACATTGAAAGCACCCACAACTCACCCCATACACATTGAAAGCACCCACAACTCACCCCATACACATTGAAAGCACCCACAACTCACCCAATACACATTGAAAGCACCCACAACTCACCCAATACACATTGAAAGCACCCACAACTCACCCCATACACATTGAAAGCACCCACAACTCACCCAATACACATTGAAAGCACCCACAACTCACCCAATACACATTGAAAGCACCCACAACTCACCCAATACACATTGAAAGCACCCACAACTCACCCAATACACATTGAAAGCACCCACAACTCACCCAATACACATTGAAAGCACCCACAACTCACCCAATACACATTGAAAGCACCCACAACTCACCCAATACACATTGAAAGCACCCACAACTCACCCCATACACATTGAAAGCACCCACAACTCACCCAATACACATTGAAAGCACCCACAACTCACCCAATACACATTGAAAGCACCCACAACTCACCCCATACACATTGAAAGCACCCACAACTCACCCCATACACATTGAAAGCACCCACAACTCACCCCATACACATTGAAAGCACCCACAACTCACCCAATACACATTGAAAGCACCCACAACTCACCCAATACACATTGAAAGCACCCACAACTCACCCAATACACATTGAAAGCACCCACAACTCACCCCATACACATTGAAAGCACCCACAACTCACCCCATACACATTGAAAGCACCCACAACTCACCCCATACACATTGAAAGCACCCACAACTCACCCCATACACATTGAAAGCACCCACAACTCACCCAATACACATTGAAAGCACCCACAACTCACCCAATACACATTGAAAGCACCCACAACTCACCCCATACACATTGAAAGCACCCACAACTCACCCAATACACATTGAAAGCACCCACAACTCACCCAATACACATTGAAAGCACCCACAACTCACCCAATACACATTGAAAGCACCCACAACTCACCCAATACACATTGAAAGCACCCACAACTCACCCAATACACATTGAAAGCACCCACAACTCACCCCATACACATTGAAAGCACCCACAACTCACCCAATACACATTGAAAGCACCCACAACTCACCCAATACACATTGAAAGCACCCACAACTCACCCCATACACATTGAAAGCACCCACAACTCACCCCATACACATTGAAAGCACCCACAACTCACCCCATACACATTGAAAGCACCCACAACTCACCCAATACACATTGAAAGCACCCACAACTCACCCAATACACATTGAAAGCACCCACAACTCACCCAATACACATTGAAAGCACCCACAACTCACCCCATACACATTGAAAGCACCCACAACTCACCCAATACACATTGAAAGCACCCACAACTCACCCCATACACATTGAAAGCACCCACAACTCACCCCATACACATTGAAAGCACCCACAACTCACCCCATACACATTGAAAGCACCCACAACTCACCCCATACACATTGAAAGCACCCACAACTCACCCAATACACATTGAAAGCACCCACAACTCACCCAATACACATTGAAAGCACCCACAACTCACCCCATACACATTGAAAGCACCCACAACTCACCCAATACACATTGAAAGCACCCACAACTCACCCAATACACATTGAAAGCACCCACAACTCACCCAATACACATTGAAAGCACCCACAACTCACCCAATACACATTGAAAGCACCCACAACTCACCCAATACACATTGAAAGCACCCACAACTCACCCCATACACATTGAAAGCACCCACAACTCACCCAATACACATTGAAAGCACCCACAACTCACCCAATACACATTGAAAGCACCCACAACTCACCCCATACACATTGAAAGCACCCACAACTCACCCCATACACATTGAAAGCACCCACAACTCACCCCATACACATTGAAAGCACCCACAACTCACCCAATACACATTGAAAGCACCCACAACTCACCCAATACACATTGAAAGCACCCACAACTCACCCAATACACATTGAAAGCACCCACAACTCACCCCATACACATTGAAAGCACCCACAACTCACCCCATACACATTGAAAGCACCCACAACTCACCCCATACACATTGAAAGCACCCACAACTCACCCCATACACATTGAAAGCACCCACAACTCACCCAATACACATTGAAAGCACCCACAACTCACCCCATACACATTGAAAGCACCCACAACTCACCCAATACACATTGAAAGCACCCACAACTCACCCAATACACATTGAAAGCACCCACAACTCACCCAATACACATTGAAAGCACCCACAACTCACCCCATATACATCAACGGCACTCAAAACTCACCGCGTACACGTTGATAGCGCCCCCGTTCTGTTTGAGCACGGAGTTGCGTTGGAAGAGCGAATTGGCAATGGTGAGGTTGTCATAGGGCAGGAAGTGCAGCGCGCCACCCTCGTCCTGCGCCTTGTTGTCCACAAACGAGCAGTTGTCGATCACGGTTCGTCCCCGCGAGGTGACTGTATTGGAGGGTGGAAGGGGGGGGTGGTGGGAGGGGGAATGAAAGGGTCCGCCAAAAGAGCACAGGAAGTGCAGCGCGGCGCCCTCATCCTGCACCTTGTTGTCCACAGACGTTCAGTTGTCGATCAGGGTTCGGCCCCACGAGGTGACTGTATCAGGGGGGTGCAAGGGGGAGGGGGTTTGAGAGTTGACCAGAACAGCAAAGGAAGTGCAGTGCACCGCCCTCGTCCTGCGCCTTGTTGTCCACGGACGTGTAGTTGTGGATCAGAGTCCGTGCCCGGGACGTGACTGCATTGGGGGGCCAAGGGGGGGACCGAGGGTGGAGGAGAGGAGAGGGGGAGGGGGGGTCGTTGAGTTGGAAAAAAGAGCAGAGGAAGGGTACAGCACCGCCCTGATCCTGGGCTTCGTTGTCCACAAACGTGCAGTTGTCGATCACAGTCCGTGCCCGGGACGTGACTGTATTGGGGGGGGGAAGGAGCAGGGCCGTGCAGTCGTTGGGTTGGGCTGGCAATCACAGTTATTTCTCAGTTACTGTATGGAGGGCGGAAGGGCGGGGTGGGAGGGGGAAGGGAAGCCGGGTTGGACGACCCTGCCAAAAGTGCACAGGGAGTACAGCGCACCCTTTGAACTTTGCAGGTTGTTTTTTTAGAATTCTAAAAAACCGAACATATTGAGTGAGGTCGGCGTTCAATGGAAAGGGAAGGCCTGTCACTGATGGTGTCATGATAACAGAAGAACCCAGAGGGAAAGAAAGGCGTCAGTGAGAGTAGCAATGCTTACCTTGCCACACTACCATACTCGTCCATCGCGGTTTTTTGGGTGCCTCAAAAGGCGCAAGTGTGGCAGGCAACGAACAACGACACCCGGTCATGCTTCGAATCGAGGGGCCTCAAAGGGAGTGAGATATTCCCATGATTGGAATGAGTAGCCAGCCAGCTACCAACCAGCCAAGCACCAACCAGTCTTGTACCGAAGCGGCACTTCCAGTGAGAAGAAAGGTTTGGCTCTGTTACCTCACTGTAATGAGTCGATTTTTGAGTCGACTAAAAAATCGACTCATTAGACACAGATTATACACTGAGATAATTTTTGTCGCATGGAAGGCTAGGCGTAACTTGCAAAAGTTATTTGTTCGCGCGACGCTCCCTGAGCACCAGCTGGCGAGACGTGGGTTATCCATCACACGTCCCGAGGAATGAAGACCTGGCACCTTGGAACTTTCCAGGGTGTTTTGGATTGGCTGACCAGATTTCAGTCGCGGTTGTTCCAACCTTGAAGTTGTTGTTCTCGTAGCGCAGTTTCTGTTTAAGAGCTCGCTTGTAAACTCACTTTATAATTCCACCAGCACTGATGAAGGTATGATTTGGGGCCTGTCCCAGTCAGCCGAAACTAGTTTGCGTTTTAATCTTCTAGTGGAGTTGAGTTCGGAACTTCAAATTCTCGCATTTTAAACAGCGGTATCTTTACCTACTGTTACTCTCTTTGCTAAAGTTTTCCTCTTCGCTGCAGCCCACCCTAACGCTTAATGGCTACAAATTCATTGGGTTTCCCAATTTCTTTGGGTGACGCCGGCGAAGAAGATACGAGTTTTGCACTGATTCCACGCGGAGCAGACCACTCCTCCAAGACCTACGCTACGCAGGATACAAGCGTTCCCGCAACGGCAAGGGAGTTGGAAATTCTGCATCGATTCGCGAGGTAGACGAGAAAGAGAAGCAATCTGAAGATTCTCCCGACATGGCCGACATCGACGTCCAGAAAGACGGCAAGCCTGTGGATTAGGCTCCTGTCAACCCGACTACCGATTGCGTGTCTCACATTTCAAAGCCTTTCAAAGGCTGGACGGTGGCGGCGGTCAAGGGCTTCAGGACGGACTACAAGGCACTCCTCAAGGCGAAGTCGAAACTTAAGAAGATGAAGGCCCTCCACGAGCAAGGTGTGATTTTGCACAGCCTTCGCACCAAGGTCGTGGAGTTCCAGACGAAGTACCCTCTGACGCGGGAAAAATCGGCTGCATCGGTCGCCTCGGTTCATCTCGAGAACCAGAAGCGCATTCAGGAAGATTTCATCAAGTCCAAGGAGGCGGAGGTTGAAGAAATTCAGTCAGCATCCGCCTCGCACGTGGCAGTTCTGGCGGCCAACCTCGAAGACTACATACAAGGCCTCAGCTCCGACCCCAAGCTCACCATATCTGATGAGACTAAGGAGCGCTTCCGAAGGATCAATGCGTCGTGCATCGAGCAGGCCAAGGATGAGATCGTCATCCAGGAGCTGCACAAGCAGAAGGCGCGCGAAGCTGAAGAGTTGAAGAAAGCTGCTGCTGCTGAAGAGATGGAGAAAATGAAAACGGCTTTGGTACTCGACGAACTCGTGCTGAAAGCTACTAAGCGGCAAGTCGAGGCGATGCGCAAGGAAGTTGTGGTGAGCGTCACTACGAGGGTCACTGCGAGCGTCGAGGCGATGCCGACTGCGAAGTTCCAGAAGAGTTTCTCGAAGGAATCGCACGATCCCAAACCGGCCCCCTCGTCTTCGAAGCCCAAGGCGGACCCGTCCAAGAACCCGAAGAATAACTCTTCTGGGAACAAGGCAGATATACCAAAGGCTCCGAAGAAGCGAGGGAGAGGCAAGAAGAAAACGAAGTCTCCAGGCGGCAGCGGAGGGAAAGGCCAGCAATCTTCCTCGACTATGGCCCAAGTTCCAAAAAACGGCGGCGGAGGCCCAGGAAAAGGGCCGCGCAAGAACTAACTGCACGAGATCTCGCGCTCCGCCGGTTCGGACGTCTGAATTTACGGCAGGCGCAGTCACGCGTTCGAAACCGGGGAGTATACAACCTGAGCTCCCAAGGTTTTATCTCACGACGAAACCAAGGCGCTCGGGATAGGACTCAAATTCGTACCTACGCCGCCATGGAACTTTTCCATAGAAGCAGATCTGGATCAACTGCATCGACGGATCTCCCTCAGTCTTTTCTTCAAGGATCAAGGGTCTTCAACTTCATCACGTTTCCGGGTGAAGAATCCAAGCTGGAGACCCAAGCGGGACACGGTCCTGGAGCATGTTTTCAAGGAGGCGCGAGCCGACCTATCTTTCCTGCTGAAAGCGTGTAAGCCGTCTCGTGGACTCAACCTTTCGCGAGGAGTCCGCGCGGCTTTACGCTCCTTTTCGCTCGACAGCAACATCGTCATCAAGCCTGCTGATGAAAACGTCGGAGTAACTATGATGGATCGCACGCACTACGTCGCTCTCTGCATGGAGCATCTCGACGACGCGACAGTGTACCAGCTGGTTAGTCACGACCCAACTCCTTCTGTTCTACAGCAGCTGACGGAGCTGAAGGCAACGTGGGGACCTGCTTATCCTGACATTCTTTGGAAGTACTCTTTCGATCGTCCGCCAAGGGGATGGCGACCAGCGGCATTCTATATCCTGCCGAAGCTTCACAAGAAATTACCCGTGGGACGACCGATCGCCACCTCACACTCCTGGGTTACGATTAATGTGAGCCGATGGCTGGATTCTCAACTACGATCGCTAGTGCTCAAGCAACCGACCTACCTGCGCGACTCCCTCTCTCTGCTAGCGAAGCTGGAAGCTACGGCTTTTCCATCAACTGTGCTCCTGGCCACTTACGACGTCACCTCGCTCTACCCAAGCATCTCCATCGATCGAGGGCTCGAAGTGGTTAGCAATTTTCTCTTGAGGGCACCAACACAGCTCACTCAACTGCTCATGGCCTTCTTGGGATGGGTCATGAGGAATTCCTTTGTGGAATTCGACGGCAGGATTTTTCACCAAGTGCAAGGCACTGGGATGGGAACTCCAATTGCAGTTTGCTTTGCAGTCCTCTTCATGAGCCGTCTCGACGAGCTGCTTAAGGCGAGGTGGACCGGGATATCACCAAGTTACCACGTCCGTTACATCGACGGCGACCATATCATCTGACCAGGCTCGCAGGCTGATCTGGAGGAGTATCTGCGAACCTTCAACGGCTTCGATACTTCCATCAGGATCACGTAGAATATCTCGAAGCACTCCGTTGATTTTCTGGATGTTGTCCTCCACAAGGGGCAGGGTTTCAAGGAGTGTGGTCGTCTGGACCTCGGCACTTTTCAAAAGCCGATGAACAGATACCTCTACCTCCCCTTCTCCTCCTTCCACCCTTGGCACTGCAAGGAGGGCTTCATACGCGCCGACCTACAGCGTTACCTACTGCGTTCGACCTCCATGCGCACCTTTCTTGCAACGAACAGGCTTTTTTTCCGGCGGCTTCGCAACCGGGGTTACCCCCCTGCTTTCCTTCAACCGATCTTCAAGGGCGTCCTTTTCGCGCAACGCGCAACACTGCTCGCCGACACTCACGCAAACCAGCAACTTCGACGGCATTCTCTCCCCTCATCACGTGGACCCCTAGTTCTGAAGTCGACCTACACACTTGTGTCGGCCCGACTCAAACCTAAATTGGAAAAAACGCTCACTTTTGATTGCGTATTGCGTTTGAACGCAAAGAAAATACGTACGCTGCGTTTTTGGTATGGATACGCCGAAATACGCACGGATTGACCGAAAAAAAAACCCCAAAATTTTGCGAAATTTTGCGCCTTGGCGAAAAACATTCTCGCCTTCGCATATCGCGCGAACTCAACTTCGAGTTGAAATTTCGAAGCCTAGCCCCACCAACTAGACATGAGCAAAAACCGGGTAATTACCCGACCTGACCCGGTTTTGCCCTAACCACGATCGGGTCCGGGTCGGGTCGGGACGGGTAATTTCCGGGTAATGTTTGGAGGTCTGTTACCCAACCCGACATTTTAATACCGGGTAATTGGGTACCTGTCTGGCGGGTCGGGTATACTCGACCCGCATTGATTGAAGTCGGGTAATATTACCCAAGTACCCCTAGGTGGCAGTAAAATTCAGCAAACCTGGAGTAACAAACCCAAAGTCGAATCGGGTACCCGCGACCCGACGGGTAATAAATTACCCGACATTTCGAGTAACTCTCGGGTAACGGGTTACGGGTATGCATTACCCGGCCCGAGTACCCGACCCGGCCCGACCGGGTAAATCGTCAAAATCCTATTACCCGACCCGGCCAAAATGTCGGGTGGGGTCGGGTACCCGCGACCCGACCCGGTAAAATGCTCAAGTCTACCACCAACCCCCCCTTCGAACCTCTGTCCACCCCTCTCCACCTCGTCAATTCCCAATCCCTCCCAACTCCTCCTTGAGACGAGTTGGCCTCTAACAGAGTCAGCCCTCCCAGCATAAATTACTGCCATTTCAACATTCGATACTCATTCTCGCAATTCCCTTTCTACCGTAGCTTGCACGCCACCATGACTTCCAGCCCTACAGCATCACCTTCTCCCCCAACTGCTGAGGCTACCCGTACTTCCACCTGCCCGGAAAAAAAAAATCCCCTGCTGGGGCCAACGTATTCTGTGCGTACCCGACCCCCTCCCCCTAAGCGTATTGCGTTTTAATCTTCTAGTGGAGTTGAGTTCGGAACTTCAAATTCTCGCATTTTAGACAGGGGTATCTTTACCTACTGTTACTCTCTTTGCTAAAGATTTCCTCTTCGCTGCAGCCCACACTAACGCTTAATGGCTACTAGCACCGCCAAGGGAGGAGTCGTCATGTTCCCCATTTTGCACGAAGCGATCTTTGAGGTGCCTAAAAAGAACTCACTAGTGCCCGCCACCCAGCCCAGACAGGAGTTGGCTTGCATGGTCTCTTAGTGAACTTGTCAAATTTATTCATAGATAATAATGATAATTTTAACACTCCTTTAAGATTGAACAAACTGGTCTTTCTGAGAAATGTCACAGATAATCCTAGTTATAAATAAAATAACTGATTTGACCACCTACCAATCCTAAGTTGAGTGAGAGTAGCACAACTAATACTTATGAGGTTAACTTACTCTACTAACTAAGTTAACCATAAAGTAATATACAGTTATATGACATTAGCGGACAAGGACTCATGAGTAAATTGAAATCTATATAGAACTTGCACATCTAATAAAAGCAACCACACTAAGAAAGAAACTCGATCTACAGACTCACTAGCACCACCCACAGAGGATTGGCTGGCATCGTCTCCATACCGCAGGAAGAGGCAGTTGAGTAGCTTGACATGGTTTTTAGGCCTTTTAAATAGACATGGTCAAAATGCGATGCGATGCGATATCGCATCGCATTTTGAATTATCGCACAAAATATCGCGGCGATGCGATATTGCATCGTTGCAATTTTTTTCCCAGAAACGCGAAATCGCATATCGCGTATTACGCGCATTTTTTTTTTATTGCACAGTAGAGTGTGATATATCGCGCGATGCGATAAAATATCGCATCGCCAGGGGTAAATTTCAACGCAAAGTAAATTTCACCTGCAATTTGGATAGGTAGATAACTGGGAACTGCCGATGGGTTTCAACTTTCAAACAGGGGCACAACACTCCATTACAACATGGGGCCAAAAAATGAACAGCAAAAAAAACGCGTTAATTTTTTACATCGCATATCGCATTCTATTGCGCCCAAAAAACACGATATAAACGCGATATGGCAAAAATCGCGCGATATTATCGCATCGCATCGCCGCGATGTTTATGAAAAAAGAAAAGAAGAAGAAGAAGAAAAAAAGCCATCGCAAAATGCGATGAACCGCGATGCGATGCAATATGACCAAGTCTATTTTTAAAAGCAACCATAAGAAGCAAGTGGTTCTACAAACTCACTAGCACCACCAAGGGAGGAGTTGGCATGGTCCCCGTTTCGCAGGAAGAGGCAGTTGAGCAGCGTGATACGCCCCGTGTCCGCATACAGGGCTCCTCCTTGCCCCGCCTGATGGGGGAGATGTGGATGGAAGGGTTGTGAGTGAAGATGAAGAGAGAAGATGAAGGGGGGAGTGAGGGGAGAGGATGAAGGGGGGAGTGAGGGGAGAGGATGAAGTGGGGAGTGAGGGGAGAGGATGAAGGGGGGAGTGAGGGGAGAGGATGAAGGGGGGAGTGAGGGGAGAGGATGAAGGGGGGTGTAAGGGGAGAGGATGAAGGGGAGAGTGAGGGGAGAGGATGAAGGGGGGAGTGAGGGGAGAGGATGAAGGGGGGTGTGAGGGGAGAGGATGAAGGGGGGAGTGAGGGGAGAGGATGAAGGGGGGAGTGAGGGGAGAGGATGAAGGGGGGAGTGAGGGGAGAGGATGAAGGGGAGAGTGAGGGGAGGGGATGAAGGGGGGAGTGAGGGGAGAGGATGAAGGGGGGAGTGAGGGGAGAGGATGAAGGGGGGAGTGAGGGGAGAGGGGCTCGACAGAAGAGAGAAGGCAGTTGAGCAGGTTGACATGGCCCATGCCTCTATTGCTGGCCGCCCTCTGTAGCGGGCCCTGCTGCCTGCCGTGACCACCCTGATTGGCAGGCACACAGGCATGTCAAACGCAGGAGAGAGAAAAGAGGAGGATGAGGAGGAGGAGGTGATCGAGAAAGCTGACTCTAGAGGCGCCTCAAAGATTGAGAAAGCTGGCATGCGGCATGCCCGGCACTCCACGTGCAATGCCGGCAGGGCCCCCCCTTGACCGAGGGGTCCATTTTTTAGGCGCCTCAAGGATTGGGAAGCTGGCATGCGGCATGCCCTGCATCCACTCCTCTGCATCCACTCCAATCCATGTGCAGTGCCGGGCTCCCCCTCGACGGAGGAGTCTATTTTATAGGCGCCTCAAGGATTGGGACAGCTGGCATGCGGCATGCCCTGCATCCACTCCGCGTGCAGTGCATGGCCATTGGGAGAATCCTCAAGATACACCTGCAGGCTGTAGATGACCCACCGCTCACATGCACAGTGTGTCAGTGTCCACGTGGCATGTGCCATTCTCCCCTTTGACCGCCCTGATTGGTGGCAACTACTCATGCCCAACCACTCATCTGGTTCTCAATGAAGGCACTGTCCACGATGCCGTACGCCACCATGAGATCCATGAACACAGTTGCTGTAACTGCCCCCTCCTCCCCCCCCCTGAGTCAGGAACGTGCTGGTAAGAAACTGCAACCAACCATCCACTCACCTGGTTCTCAATGAAGTCACCATCATGAATGATGTCGTACGCCACCAGCAGGGCCATGAACATGTTGGCTGCGATGCACCTGCCTCGCCCCCCCCTGAGTCAGAAGGGCCCCCCTGAATGTAGGGCCGCCAACCAGCCAGCCACTCACCTGGTTCTCAATGAAGTCACTGTCAATGATGTTGTACGCCACCATCGGATCCATGAACATGTTGGCTGCAATCGCCCCCCCTAGCATCCGAAATGCATCAACGAAAGCCCCCCATCCCATCCACTCACCTGGTTCTCGACAAAATCGCTGTCGATGATGTCGTACACCACCAGAGGGTCCATGAACATATTCGCTGCAATCGCCCCGCCCTGGGTGAGAAACGTGTCGCCATCTGCAACTGGAGGCATCATGTTCACCGCTATGTTCCGCTCAAACCGGCTCCTCTCCACGCGCATCGGCACGCCCAGCGACAGGATCGCCGCTCCGAAGCTCGGCCCGTTGGTAACGCGGTTACGGCGGAACGTGCAGTCTGTGAAGTTCGCTGGGCCTTTCACGAAAACCAGCTCGATGGACCCACCCTGTTGGCGCATAGGGTAAGAGGAGGCGCATACATGCGTGATTGAGTGCACGAGAACACACGGAAACAGATCAGAGAGAAAGCCTTTAGCTGGTGATTGAGAATTATCAACAGGAGAGGATGGTGTGTGTGCGTGTGTGATTCAGAGAGCGAGCAAAGGTGGGGTTGAGTCAAGTCGAGAGACCAAGGCGTGGCTGTCAGTCACCCCCGGTTCATCATGGCAGTGCAGTGCGCAAAGCGGCATCGAGCGAAGGAGGAGTGAGAGAAGGAAGCGAGAAGACCGTCCCTGTAACTCGGGATCAAGGAGGTGACTTTTGAGTCGACTCGGAAGTCACCTCGGGATCAAGGATAACTCACCTGAATCAGGGCTTCGTTCTCCTCAAACGTGGTGTTGTGGAACCGTGGCTGGGCGTCCCCCTGGTGGATAGAAGGACACCGCACCTCCGGTTATGAAGCCTGAGCAGTGCGCCAAGGAGAAGGCACGGTGATCTTTGTAGCTCACCTGAATCAGGGCTTCGTTCTCCTCAAACGTGGTGTTGTGGAACCGTGGCTGGGCGTCCCCCTGGTGGATAGAAGGACACCGCACCTCCGATTATGAAGCCTGAGCAGTGCGCCAAGGAGAAAGCACGGTGATCTTTGTAGCTCACCTGAATCAGGGCTTCGTTCTCCTCAAACGTGGTGTTGTGGAACCGTGGCTGGGCGTCCCCCTGGTGGATAGAAGGACACCGCACCTCCGGTTATGAAGCCTGAGCAGTGCGCCAAGGAGAAAGCACGGTGATCTTTGTAGCTCACCTGAATCAGGGCTTCGTTCTCCTCAAACGTGGTGTTGTGGAACCGTGGCTGGGCGTCCCCCTGGTGGATAGAAGGACACCGCACCTCCGATTATGAAGCCTGAGCAGTGCGCCAAGGAGAAAGCACGGTGATCTTTGTAGCTCACCTGAATCAGGGCTTCGTTCTCCTCAAACGTGGTGTTGTGGAACCGTGGCTGGGCGTCCCCCTGGTGGATAGAAGGACACCGCACCTCCGGTTATGAAGCCTGAGCAGTGCGCCAAGGAGAAAGCACGGTGATCTTTGTAGCTCACCTGAATCAGGGCTTCGTTCTCCTCAAACGTGGTGTTGTGGAACCGTGGCTGGGCGTCCCCCTGGTGGATAGAAGGACACCGCACCTCCGGTTATGAAGCCTGAGCAGTGCGCCAAGGAGAAAGCACGGTGATCTTTGTAGCTCACCTGAATCAGGGCTTCGTTCTCCTCAAACGTGCAGTTGTGGATCTGCGGCTGTGCGTCTCCTTGGTAAAAGGTCACCGCACCCCCGGTTATGAAGGCCGAGCAGTGCGCGAAGCGGCAGTGGGCAAAGGAGGCGGCTGCCGTGCTGTTGAGCTTGAGGCAGCCACCGACGCCGGTGGTGTAGTCGCTGGGAAGGAGCACAGCAGAAGATGAGAGGAAGGCCGTGTGCGATACGTCGAATGTGGACATGTAGTCGTACACTGCCCCACCCGTGGTGGACTGGTGGGGGGTGGGGAGGGGGAGACAACAGATTGGTAGGTCGGGAGTGAGAATGTCAAGGAGATGGGGAACTGGAGGTGCGAAAATATCACAGAGCCGGCACGAACCACGAGACTAGTGATCAAGCGCCCTTATCCACCCACCATGCAGCGTTGGAACGAGGAGGAGCGGATGGTCACTCTCGATTTCTCACTCGCCATGCAGCCTCCCTTGCCTAACAACTCCGGCCCCCCTGGTCCCCCCATCCCCCCCATTCCACCACCCCCCATCCCCCCACTGCCTGCATCTGCAGCAGCAGCAGGATCCGCCCCTGTGTAGCAGTCCTGCATGCTCCCCTCCGTTATAAGCACACTCGATTCTAGCACGGAGAGGCCCCCGCCTACTGCTGTGGTCCCCAGGGCGCTGCAGTTGCTTATGATTAGGCCTGTAACGGCGAGTGTGGTGCGGTATAGGGCCAACCCACCCCCTGTCCGTTGGATCGGGGCAACATATGCTGCTGCATCAGCACCTGTTGCTGCTGCTGCATCAGAACCTGTTGCTGCTGCTGTTGCTGCTGCTGATGATGATGATGATGGTACCGACGCTGCAACGGCTGCTGGTGCTGCTGGCGTTGCCCTTGCGGCTGCCACTGCTGCTGGTGTTGCTGCTGGTATTGCTCTTGCTGCTGCCACTGCTGCCACTACCGCTGCTGTTGCTGCTGACGAAAACGACGATGCAGAGAAAAAGGAGGAGGATGATGGAAAAGCGGCTAAGGGACGACGAGAACCAGCGGTGGTCTGGTTGGTGGAAGGGACTTGGAAGGAGACTGAGCAGTTCCGGATGGTGACGTGGCGCATCGTGATTGGCCCCGGTGCATTGCTGATCTGCATCCCCCCTCCCGACTCAGAGGCAAAGCAGTTGGAGAGGGTGAGGTCGCTGGTGGGTGAAAGGGGGTGTGGGGGGGTGTTGGTTGGGGAGGAGAGGACGCGCGGCCCAGGGGGGTGAGAAGGGAACGAGATGACACGCCCTCCACAGGCACAACAGTTGCAGAGGGTGAGGCCGCTGATGGGGGGTGGGAGGAGGAGGAGGAGGAGGAGGAGGAGGAGGAGGAGGAGGAGGAGGAGGAGGAGGAGGAGGAGGAGGAGGAGGAGGAGGAGGAGGAGGAGGAGGAGGAGGAGGAGGAGGAGGAGGAGGAGGAGGAGAGTGGGGGGGAGGGGGGGGAGAAGGGAAGTCATGACACGCCTCAAGAAGAATAGCAACTGGACAGGGTGGGTTGAGAGCAAGGGATGGGGTGTGTTAAGATTGTGCAGGGTGCTTCTGAGAATTCTCAAAAGACGCCCTGCAAAAGCAGCTGGAGAGGGTGGGTTGAGAGAGGGATGGGTGCGTTACGATGCCTCGAAGTTACATCTGGACAGGGTGGGTGGGTGGGGTCACTGGTGAGATGGCAGGGGATTGGACGGGCGGAACAGAGAGCAGAGCAGCAAGAGAAGTTCCCAAGACCGCGCCCAGCACTAGCGAGCAACAGTATGCCAATGCATTAGCATGCTGAGCCATTAGCAGCAGATAATAAAAAACAGTGTAGGCAGGGAGGGAGCCACCACGACTGCAAGATGAATCATGAATCCACACCACAGTTACCGCCCTCTCTCACCCAGGTTTGCTCCTCCTGGGCTTTGCTTACTGTTTGCCCATTTACCTTTTTTTTTCATAGGACCACACAGCACTGCTCTCATACACACATGACTGACTGCCCTCTCTCTCATACACACATGACTGACTGCCCTTCCTCACACACATGAGTGTGCCCTCACCATAGCACCGCGTTTACTCTTCGGAATAGCATGCACCCGCCCTTGCTGCCTTCCCCCTCTCACTTCAGCGCGGCATTCACTCGTTGGAGCAGCATGCGCCCCCCCTTGATCTTTTCGAGGCACCTCAGAAACCATAACGCCTTCACACATGACTGACCTCCCTCTCACCTCAGAAACCATAACGCCTTCACACATGACTGACCTCCCTCTCACCTCAGAAACCATAGCGCCTTCACACATGACTGACCTCCCTCTCACCTCAGCACTGCGTTCACTCCTTGGAGCAGCATGCACCCGCCCTTGCTCCTTGACCATCCATTCACTACGTGCAGGCGAGAGATCGTTATGAGGGACCTGCTGCAAGTTGAATCCAGAGGCGCTGCTGCTGCCGTTGCTGCTGCCGTTCCTGATTGCAGCATTGCTCCTTTTGCGGATTCTCCTACAGCTGTCTCTGTAGCTGTCGCTATACCCGTTGCTACAGCATCCCCAGTGCCAGCAGCACCAGGCGCATCAGGAGGAAAACGGGAGGAGGGGGAGGAGGAAAAGGAGGGGAGAGGAGAGGGGAGAGGGAGAGCAGCAGGGGTGGTGATGGTGGTGGAGGGGCAGAGGGCTTGGAAGCAGGGGCCGTAGGAACAGTCAATGAGGGCGGGGGGGAGGGTGAGGGGGGGGCCGAGGATGGTGAGACGTTGGTGGGGCAAGAGGAGGGGCGAGGGGGAGGCGTGGGTGTAGGAGCCTGATGCGATGTGAATAGTGGCGCCCTCTGACGCACTGTGGGGGGGGAAATGGGGGAAGACGGGGAGGAGGGCATCAGTATGGGGGCGGGGGAGGGGAGTGGGCAGGCGGAAGGAGAGGCAGAGGAGTGGGTCTAGGTGCCTGACGCGATGTGAATGCAGCGCCTGCTATGGACCTATGGTACTGTGTGTGAGGAGGTAAAGGTTGCAGTGCAGCAGTGCAGTGCAGAGGGGCAAAAAGGGGTTGAAGTCATGCACTCTTATAAGATAGCCCATTAATAAGCAGAAGAAAGGAAATGTGGAGGTTATATCCATGTAAACGAGCAGTGTGGATTCGAGGCTCAGTCATGCTTCCTAAAGGGAACGGAGGTAGAAGGAATTATGAACTCCGAAGCACCTTGATACAATGACGCAGTGCATGAAAAAGGGACAGGGAGGTGCTGGGAGGTGCTGGGAGGTACTGGGAGGTGCTGGGAGGTGCTGGGAGGTGCTGTGAGTTGCTGGGTGGTGCTAGGAGGAGGAGAAAGGTGCCATACCTGTTAAGCGCTGCTTGTACGGAACCTGCGCTTGTGATTAAGAGGAGAGACGGAGACGAGTGAGGGGGGGACAGGCGAGGGGGGGGGGAGGGGGAAGGAGGGAGCGGGAAGGGGAGGGGGTAGGGGGTAGTCGTGCGGAGGAGAGAGAGGACTTGTCAAGAGGGGAGGAACGATAAGTGGGAGGGAGACAGGTAGTGGAAGGTGGCTACTCGTGGACGAGAGCCAAGTCAAAGCGCAGAGGCAAGAGCAGTAACGTTCTTCTCTTCCCGGCAGCCGAGGAAGAGACAATAAGCGCTTCTCATGTTGCAACATGTGCCTCACGTTGCAACATGCGCCTCACGTTGCAACATGCGCCTCACGTTGCAACATGTGCCTCACGTTGCAACATGCGCCTCACATTGCAACATGCGCCTCACATTGCAACATGCACCTCACATTGCAACATGCACCTCACGTTCCAACATGCGCCTCACATTGCAACATGCACCTCACATTGCAACATGCACCTCACGTTCCAACATCATGCGCCTCACACGCACCCTTCACACATATGTTTCCATTACCGCAAGCCTGCCGAGGGCTCTGGCCACAGCAGCCTGTGAGGAGCCCGCCCTCTCCTCAGCAGCAGATGCACCTCGCGTTGCAATGCAACATGCGCCTCGCGGTGCAACATGCGCCTCGCGGTGCAACATGCGCCTCGCGTTGCAACATGCACCTCACGTTGCAGCATGCGCCTCGCATTGCAACGTGCGCAACGCACCTGTCATAGTTGCAAGTAGGGGATCCCTTACCGCATGCCTGCTGAGGGTTCTGGCCGCAGCAGCCTGTGAGACGCCCGCCCTCGGCCACATGCACGGTGGCGGTGGGAGTGGGACAGGTGGTACCTGGGACAGGGGGGAATCGGGGTGGGTTAGGAAGAGGAAATGAGGGGTGTGAACACAAAATCCTCTTTGAAACCACCCCCTTCTGCCCCACTGGCGGTGGCGGTGGGAGTAGTACCGGCCATAGCTGGGGGGGGGGGGTCGAGGTGGTTGACGAGAGGAATGGAGGGGGAGGGGCAGAAAACATGAGGCCAAAGAAGGGCCATTGAGGCATGCTGTAAGAAGGGCCCCTCATGAAATGAAGTTTCTTTTTTTGGATTCTCAAACCCCCATGTAGTTCTGAGTCCACTCAGAATACACCTTTTGAGCCGTCTCAAAATACACCCACGTACACAGTGGCGGTGGGAGTGGTGTTGGTATGTGGGGAAAGCAGAAGGGGGGTGAAGGCGGGGGTATTCCCGTCCCACGCGTCAGGCTAGCGTCAGGGGCGGAATGAGAGGAGCATGGGTGAGTCGTTTCAAAGGTGTATGGTGAGAATCTTCTAAATGCACCTACAGCGGGGGGGACGAGAGGCGCATCCGCGAGTAATCTCAATACCATTACTTCCATCGCCGCATTGAGTACTATGCGAGCACTCGTTAAGTACTATTCGGCCTGCTAAACGTGAGCACGGGGTGTCAGGGAAGCGATTTTTGAGGCGCCTCAGGGAAGCGTGATCGGCTAAAAGTGAGCACGGGGTGTCAGGGAAGCGTGAGCACGGGGTGTCAGGGAAGCGTGAGCACGGGGTGTCAGGGAAGCGACTAACCTGTCGCTCCTTGGGATGACACCAGTCGCTGCTGCTCAACCAGCAGCTCCAAGACCCCGAGACCTATTGAGTTGACTCAAAAGTCACCTTTCACGGTGTATTGCTCGGCCTATTGCTCGGCCTCGCTTATTACTAACCTGTCGTCGCCCCCTGGCATGACACCAGCCGCTGCTGCTGAACCGCTAGCAGCAAGAGCACGACACCCATGAACGACCCTCGTGCGTCGCGTACACGACCCATTGGACGACGATGAAGGGAAAGGGTTACCATCAAGCGTTACCACCACAAGACCTATAGGCCGGTACAAGCAATTCCCGAGGTCCCTGATAACACGCGGTGCTAACACGTGACGCTAGCGTGCAGTAAAGAGCGCCGCTCTCCTCTCTAACAGCGACATTTGCGTTTAGGAATTCCTAAAATGCAGAAGCGAACCACGTATCCCTCGTAAAGAAGTTTCAAAGAGCTTCGACCTCCAGCTAGATTTAGTTAGGGAGAAACATATCCTGAGATCTTACGCACGCGAATGCATGCTCCTTAGCTAACGTGGGTCGTTACCCTTCACGGCTATCGTCACTCTGTTACTAAGCACAAGCAAATGCATGCCGACAGGAGTGGAATGCGGCAACTATTGCTCTGAGCTAAACACTTTGTTAGGAGAAACTACAGCAGTAGGCGCCGATAATGCACCGAACAGCTAGCTTAGTAAGGAACTTCCAGTCGGCACTGGTGATGGTAACACTGCTTCGTCAAATCGCTAAATCCAAAATCCGACTTGGCACGACATGTTCAAGCTTCGCCAAACCGACTGCTTCTCGCCATCCTTGTTCGCTCGTCGGAGAACGTGTGCCTGCCAAAGGACTGAGCTTGACCATCCGTTATTGAGCAGACTCAAAAGCCTTAACAATACGGGAGTCCCTGTAAAAAGCCGGAAAAATACATTTTTAACCCCTCTGTTATCAACTAAATTCTTAGTCAAGACCACGCCCATAGTCTCGTTGTAGGGGTGCTGTTTGCTCGGGCCTGCCCTTGTGAGAACCCTGTTTTTCTAAAGTTTTTATTTATTTCTTCCATGAAAATTAAGGCACTGGTTTTTGAAATGTAGACTGATGGCGTGTCCCGTTTGTTCTACTAATCATTCGTGGGATTGTTTGATAAGAATGGCAGACTAATCGTGGAACCCGACTGATGAAACGTATTCCAAATTCGATTAGTTTAAAGCGTGCGACTACAATGGCGTCAAGGTTCACAGTGTTAAATTATATATTTGTTATATAATTATAGGCTTGGTAGCTGTTACTAAAACCTATTATAAAGGGTACAACACCCCTCCTTGTATCCCTCTCTCTTCTATTCTCACTCTTTTTTCTCTCGTTAACTTTCTCCTAGCTAAACCCTCACGCCATTCCATGACTTCCTAACTACCTAGTCTCGTGACACGGTATCAGAGCAGGTCGCTCTTCCCGGGCCTACTCCCCACGCTTCCGCCGTGTACTCGTTCGTCGTTCGTCCCTGCCGGGCCGCCATCGCGGCCATGCCGAGCAGTCGTTGCTGCGTCGTGGTGCTGCCGTCGCAGCCCCGACGCGTGGCGTTGACGCCACACCGCTACGACGGCGTCGTGCTGCCGTCGCAGCGTCGACATCCCGCCGTGGCAGAGATACGCGCTGTGGCGGCGTCGTAATGCTGCGGTGGCGGCGTTGTCGGGCGGCAGCCGGCCGCGCAACGTCTGTGGCGCCGCCGGACCTGCCGTCCGCACGCCAGCCACGGGCGTGAGGCAGGACCTCCCCCCCCCTTCCCCTGCGTCCTCTTCCTCGCCGCAGACGACGGTTGACTCCCGCCGGCCGTCCCACCGTCGCGGGGGCCTGGCCATGCCACTGAGAGGTGCGGGCGCCGCCGCCGCCGCCGCTGTTGTCGAAGCCGCCACCGCCGCCGCTGTCACCGCTTGCGTTGGGGCCACGCAGCCGCACGCCGCCTTTGCCGCCGCTGCTGTCGACACTGTCGCCGCTGCCGCCGTCGCCGTCGTAGCCCCTGCGGTCGACGTCGCCGCCTCACGCACTGAAGGGTCAACCAAGCTGGTGTAGCTATCACTGTGGCTGAGTATGAGGGTGCCAGAATTAGGGGGTGGGTATGGCTTAGTGTCCTGTGTGTGTGGGCTTGCCACTACCAAGCCTAGGGGGTGTGTTAAATTATATATTTGTTATATAATTTTCGGCTTGATAGCTGTTACTGAAACCTACTGTAGAGGGTACAACACCCCTCCTTGTATCCCTCTCTCTTCTATTCTCGCTCTTTTTTCTCTCGTCAACTTTCTCCTAGCTAAACCCTCACGCCATTCCATGGTTTCCTAGCTATCTAGTCTCGTGACACGAAGGACATTGAACCTCGTCAGGGCGAAACGATCCACCCGGGTCCGAAAACACCTGGCAACGTTTAAGGTCATTTGAACTTTGACGACGCCAATGTAGACACTTGCTATAATTAGGACATTCACCATACGCATTATCGGGTCTGTAAACTAGTATAACATATGCACTACGACACGCGTACAGTTACCACAATATTTTGGGCATGTACCCATGCCAACCCAGTCGATCACCCCCAGGACAGATCCACACAGGGTGTGGCACACATCCAAAACACTACATGCACATGCCCCGAAATATCATCGGCACAAGGACACTCAAAATCCGGGCCGCATCCAACCCAAAGAGCTGTTAGCATTGGCTCTTAGCAGCTCATAGGTTTCGGACAGCCCCAAATGACGCTCGAGTACACGTAATGAGAAGCACAGCCGAGTCCTTGACGAGACGTAGCTACGTGCAAACGTGGATATTTTATTTCTTGTGGAACACTACCCTAAACGTTTACACTATCAGGTACAAACTCAACAAAATGTTTCGTACAAGTACGTACCCTGTACATGCGCCAAAAGTGTGCTTGTGACACACCCTAATCAGAGTTGGGTTTTCAAACCTGCTAATGCGACTTGATAGTTTTTTTTTTCGTTCATTTGATGCAGAACTGCATGTTTCACGTGATTTTGGTGGACAAATCACACCCCTCACAAATGCTCCAACATACCTTGGACCACTCGCAAAACTGCCCAATCAGAGACACGCTCGAGTGGCGAGCCCCATCCAACAGTGTCGGGTCTGACACGAGGTTGACTCGTAGTTGAAGGAGTTGGGGGTTTTACCAATCCAACAGCGGGTCTTGCAGTTATGACGACTGTATAACTTCAGATATGTGCACTATCATAACCACAAGGTACGCATAAATTATGTTTCAATTTTATAAATATTGAAACCCCCCGATTGGTAACCCAGTTCCCCAAAACAAGAGCAAAAACCAAAGTCGCACACCAAAACGACGGGAAACGGTTGATATTCTTGCGACACCCCTAACCGATTCTGCCCCTGCCCCCGTCACACCATGAGTTTGGGCGGAAATAAACTTGAAACATCCGCCCATATATTTGGGACTTTCGAAGTGCAAACCCAGCCCTGCGCCACTACGCCCTAGGCAGCGAACGCACCATGCACAACACACGTGAGTTTTTTGGGTTGCGGAGCAACCTATTACGATCGATTTTGCCGATTTTTTTTTTCACTCAAAAGTTTGGATGGAAAACCTTTGCACAATAAAATATGACCTGAAGTTTTTGTTCTCTTCCTATGAATATAACAAAATGCTAGAGGTGTTTATTCTATGATAGGAATCAAATGCATGTATTTTGAAATAATATTTGCATCATATTTGGTTGATTTCTGGTGTACTGTGAAATTTTGGCAGGCCTCTTGTTCGATTGCATCACATCGTTGTGTACGGATCCAATCGAGTCGTGCAAGAAAATTTATGTCATCATATATGACATGAAAAAAAAAATTGATGATTATGTGACAGTGAAAAACTCAAACCCTAAGCTACCGCTTCCCCAGCGCTAGCATGGGGGGGAAGTCAGCAAGCCTAGTCTCTGAATGATGGAGCAACGCAATCTGTAATGTCCAAAAAAAGAACCAAAACCTATCAAATCTAGTTCGAGACAGAAACTCAAGGAGCTCGCCTGTGAACCGTTTGTGATTTGACAAGCATGCTTTCTTTTTTCGAAATACAGACATGCATTGCTGTGGATCGAGAATGAGAGCAAATAACAGCAGCAAGACACATCAGACCAAACACAGGACGCCAGCAATTATAAGAATATAAAGCTGAAAATGAGATAATTGAACATCCCAACGAATTAGAGCAAAACGCCGTAGGGAACTCATAAACGCGTTTACAAGAAAACCTGCACAAAATTAAAGTGGATATTATATTAGGCATTCCGTATGAAATGAGTGAACAACAAGCAGCTAGGCCGAGAACGAATCGGCATGGGAAGTTAACACAAAATGTGATGGTGAAAGGAAAGAGACGAAGAGAGAGAAGTTGAAAGAGAGGTAGAGAGAGGTAGAGAGGGAGAGAGAGAGAGAGAGAGAGAGAGAGAGAGAGAGAGAGAGAGAGAGAGAGAGAGAGAGAGAGAGAGAGAGGTAAAACGACATGCAAGGAGGGGGGAGACGGCAGGCAAAGAAGTGGTTACGACGGACTAGGAGGATGAAAAGGCGGGCAAAGGAGAGGGGAAACGACAGATGAGAATCCGTACCGAGTACCTAAGCTGAAAGAGACCATTTACGTTTCCTCTACTAGCTTGAGGAAAAAACGAGAGAAGAAACATGGAGAAACTAGTAAGATACGACTACACGAAAATGTCATCAAGCCACTCTTAATGCCGACCTGGAGTAGTCTGTCGTACAGCTGCGATAAGAAAAGGCAGTCGTAGCTGCTGTCATGTTGCTGCCTAATCACCAGATCTAGAATCACGAATTGCTGGAAGTGGGGAAGAGAAAAACGTGAGACAGAAGTATAGAGGAGGAAGAATCGAGCATAAGGAATTCACGTTTCTGCAGCTCTGAACCCGCAAGCAGAGAGGGTGCGTTCAAACAGCCGCGGTTTTGCAGCTCTGAAAGAAGATTTGTTTTTTTCTCGGTCAGAAAGTGCCCCATCGCACTGAAATTCGCGTAATCGTGTTATTTAACCAAAACTATCGGTAGTGTAACTCAGAAATTCGGTAACGCGTAATGCATCCAGTGGCGAGCTCGGGGGTTTTGCCTCTTATTGACGGGAAAAAAATCAGCATTCTGTGGCGAGTGTTGCTAGGCTGGTGTCATTGCCACGTCGGAATATATTTCCGTCTGGCAGTTACGCGTGACGAGCCTCGCCACTGGGAAAAAAATAACAGCATTGCCAGGTGGCCAGATTCGCTCGCCACAAGTCAACAGTGGCCACAGTCAACAAATAATTAAACAAAATGAAAACGGAAACTCCCGACGGCTGGGCATTTGGCGGAAAGGTAAAAAAAAAAAAAAAAAAAAAAAAATCCAAACGCACGCAAAACAAAAGAAACATTACGGAAACATGTCTACAGTTGAGCAATAAGGAACAAAACTATTCAAGAAACTGTACAAGCAGAAACGAACAACAAAAGAAACCAGTTCCAACAGCGTGGCACGATTTAAGAACAGTATCGGACGATGAATAACTTAAAACCCATTTCTATATAGTGTAAAAAATGTAGAAACTCAATAATATGTCCTACTTGTATTAGATGCATTAATATTGTGATTGCATGT